CAGGGGCTGTTACCTGGCAGCAGGGTCACCAGGCAACGGCCCCAGGGGAGAGTTCAGATCTCCTGCACCTGCTTGCCAGCCTCCGGGATGCCCAAGGGGTGGGGTGGGGCGGAGCAGGGAGGATCGGGGCGGGCACTGACTGTTTACCTGCCTGCACGCAGTCCCTGTGTTGTCCCGGACTCAGCCAGAGGCTCATGGAGCCTGGGGCCACAGGCCACAGGGGACAAGGACCGAAAGCCTCGTGCATGGCCCTGGGCCATTGATCCAGCTCCTGCTGGCCTGTGGGGGTGGGGAGACCTTGGCCTGGACAAACAGAGGCTCCTGCGGCCTGCGTGCAGGCCCAGCACCCACCTGCCACTCTCCAAGGTAAGTGGGGGCTTCCAGGACTGGAATGTGGGGATAAGCTAGTGACAGAGTGCAGCGATAAAGCTGGCCTTCCTGCTTGGGGCTTGAGCCTTCAGCCCCGCTTTGTAGCCAGGTCTGCTGGGCCTCAGGGGCTTTGGAGCAACCAGGGAGCAGAGACAGGGGTGCACAGAGTGGGGGCTGGTGCTGGCAAAGGTGGAGCAAGGCCAGGTATGTGGACAGCAGGGGCAGTGGAAGGGTCATGGGCTCCTGTGGCAAAGTGGCCTGGGATTTGGGAGGGAAGGGGTGAGAGAGGCCCAAACTAGCAGCTGAGCACCTTGCACTGACCCTTCAGGAACTGGATGGGTGGCTGTGGTCACACCTGGGTGCCCTGCCTGGCTTTCTCTTGTGGGACACAGGCCTGGAGCCACATTGCCCCTGTTGGGCAGCCTCGGTGCTGGACCCTTGGCTCACAGGCTCTGAGTTGGCCCCTGTGTGTGTGTGTGTGTGAGACTCTGAGTAAGTGAATGTGTGTATGAATGTGTACACGTGTGAGTGGGAGTATATTGTAGGGTGTGTACGTGTGTGAGAGTATAAATGTGTGTGAATGTATATGGGAGTGTGCATGCATGAGTGAACATGTGTTTATGACTGTATGTGTTGTGTGACAGTATGCACATGAGTGGGAGTGTGGAATTAGTGTGCATGTATGTGTGTATGTGTGTACATGAGTGTGAGAGCATGTATGAGTGTGTAATGCATATGTGTTATGAGTGTTAGCATGTATGTGTGCATGAATGTGTGTGTAATGTGTATGTGCGTATGTCAAAGTGTGGCTAAAGCCAGTATTTGTACCCGTTCTCTGGTCAGAAACAAGCGTGCGAGGCACCTATGTGTGAGTTGAGTGTGCTTACACAGCAGCAGAGACTGCCTGGCCCCGACACCCTCGGGAGCACACAGTTGTGGGACCCCCTGCAGGCCCAAAAGGAAGGTGCCTCCCATGGTCTCAGATCAAGATGCCCACCCTGCCAGGCAGAGTGACCCCAGGTTACACATCTGCGTGCTTCAGTTTCCCAGCATGTTGGACAGCGATAGGGAGGCGTGCATGCCAGGCGGCAGTGCGGCTCCAGCATCACCTGGCACAGGACTGGCGCACAGTAGGAGCTCATGCATGGTGGCCATGTAGAAGCTTTTGGCTGCTGGAGGGGCTGCCTCACCCCTGGGGTCCAGGTACCCAGCTCAGGGACGAGTCCTTCAGTCGTGGGGCACACAGCACCACGTGGGAAGGCCTGGGCTCTTATTCGTTTGTTCAGTGGCAGTCTCTGAGTTGGGCAGCTCCCTGCCTAGCTTGGTGCTGGAAAGAGGCCCCACAGAGTGGGCAGGAGGAAGTCTTCCTCGGGCAGCTCACAGGAGTGCTAAGCCATGGGAAGGACAGACAGAGCACATCACACCCTGGAGTTTTGAGAAGCTGGTGAGATGAAAATGGCAGAGAAATGGGCAATCCGGGAACACCTCTCTGAAGAGGTGACATTTGAGCAAAGACTTAAAGGAGGGGCAACCAGGTGGAAGAATTCTCCAGGTCGGGGTGAATGGCAGGTGCAAAGTCCCCGAGGTAGACCCACTGGTGTTCGTGTGGGTGCATGGGAGCTGTGTGAGGAGTATGTACCAGGCACACATGAGAACAGCATTATGGTGGCTGTGGGTGTGTGACCAGCTACTGCAGGAGGGGAGAGTGGGCACTTCGCAGGTGCAAGAAAGGGCTGGGTTTTGGGGAGCATTTGGAGGGTCGAGCTGGTCCTTGGGAACCACCAGGGGAGCCTGAAGACAGGACGGGGTCTCTTCCCTGTGTCCCCTGTGCCCGGCACACCAGTGCCAAGCAGGTGCTCTACAACAGCAGGAGGCAGTGGCCCACTCTAGGACTCCACAGGGCAGTGCAGCCCCAGGGGTCTGCAGGTGGAGTGATGTCATTTGTGTTTTCATTGTCACTCGTTCCTGGGGACTGGCTCCCGGCTGGGGTTCCATGGGAACACAAGGGTGAACAGGACACGTAGGAGCTGTTTTTCGTTTTTTGGTTTTTTGTTTTGTTTTGTTTTGTTTTTTTGAGGGACACAGAGACAAGGCCAAAAGCCGGGATCATCTGTGACCCAGAAAATGGTTGTCTAGGGCAGGAGGTGACACTATACCCCCTACCCCTAGCCGGGGCTTTGGGCCCCATGGCTGGGCAAGTGGCCTGGGGAAGATCTCCCTACAGCCTTGTGGGAAATGGGGTATAGTCAGCACAGAGGTGTCCAGGATGGGCAGGTGGGCAGCACAGGCTGACCGCGGAGTGGCTTGGGTGCCATGCGCAGGGTTCTGGGTGGCAGCTGCTAGAGAGCCAGGAAAATATCCTTTAAGAGAAGCTGGTGCTGAGCAAAGACATATCCTGGGTGGCGATATGCAGAAAGTGCTTGAAGAGGGCCGGGCGGCAGGAGCCTGGCTGAGGTTGCTTCTGGGCGGGAAGCAGTGTGCCAGGCATGGGCCTACCTGCTCCCAGGTGGACCCCGGTGGGAGGGGGTGCTTTCTGAGCCCAGGCTGCTCTGTGAGGTTCACTATGTTCCCAGAGGGTTCCAGAGGGGAGCCGTGACCCTGAGGGTGGGGGGCAGAGGGTAGGGGAGCTGCTGAGCAGCCTGCACTGCTCCAGGCACCTGCTGCTTCTCCCAGCAAGCCTGTGCTGTTTCCCCCTCCGGACCTCAGCTTCCCCAACCTCACACACTGATGGTTATGGTCATGGTGTTGCTTTGAAGACAAACTGGACTGGCAGCCAGCTGTGAGACTTTGATCAAGCTCCTCAACCTCTGTTTCCTCAACTTCCTTATCTGTGATATGGGAATCCCTAGAGACTATTCCTCCACCACACACACGCACCTGAGACTGGGGAAGGCTTTCGTGAGACAGAGTCAAGGTCGATGGCATGGCCTCTGTGTCCCTGAGTTGCTATGATTCCATGAATCATCCATGAAGTTCCTTGGTGAGTTCAACTCCAGAGTCAAACAGGTGGATGAAGGAGACCTGGGGTTAGTGGGGAGGGATGTCAAGAAGCCAGTGGGGTCCCCTGGGCTCTCTCCAGTCAGTACCTCCCTCCCTGCTCCTCACTCAGTCTGCAGGGAGGACCACAGGTGGCCAGCCTAGGAGGAGCCAGCCACAGGCTGGGGACTTAAGCCACTTTCTCCTTCTGTTTCTTGCGTGTTCCTTGTGGAATATGCTGCAGAGTTTTGGGGGATGGACGGGGACTTCAGGACACTTGCCACTCCTGGCCCCTGTCCCTCCCCTCAAGTGTGAATGTCCTGTGGGCCTACCCAGGTGGGAATCACCTGCAAAACCTCTATTCATTGCATCTCACAGGCTGGGCGGCAGACGTGGGTGTCTGGAGGAGCTGCAGGGAGTGAGGGGAGAGAGGAAGGTTGGGACCCCCTACTCCCTCCATGTATTGCGGGGAGGCATGTCCTCAAGGCACACCCCTCGTTCCCCACTATATGGGCCCAGAGGAAGCCCTGTCTCTGCGTTCTGTGGCTGTCTTCTGGGTAGGGCGAGGCTCACCGCCCAGCAGCCTAGAGTCCCTGCTTCCCTCTGAGTCAGGGAGGGCCCCCTGTGCCCAGAGGTTTAGGTCACACGTTTTCCTGGGAAGGGTTGAAGGTGCTGACCCTGGGGAGTCTTGGGGTGAGTGACATTGTTGTTCCCCAACCACGATCCATTCATGGGCAGCTCCTTTACAGGAGGTGTCCTGGACAGAGTTCAGACCCTTGCCTGCCATGACCTTGATCTATCCTGACTTGACCTTGGGCAAGTGACTTCACCTCTCTGGGCTCTGGTTTTCCCACCCGTAACATACAGCTGGAGTTGAACACTATGAGTTCTAATCACACCGGGAAAACAAGGCTGAGAATTCCCTGGACTGAGTTGTTGATAGAACACCCCAGGTCTCAGTTTGCTCCTCCATCCAATGGGTGCAGGGCGTTGAGAAGAGTTTGAGAAGGTGCCTGGAAGTTGATGTTTGCTGAGTGCCCATGCCAAGTGGGCCTGAGGCATGACACACGCATGTAAGGATGGTGGTCTCATAACCCTGGCCACCCAAGGATGAAAGGTGGGACTGTCTCAGGAAGCAACATTGTGAATGTTAGCTTGCTATATTCTAAGGGCCTATTGGAAGATGGGAGGTGAGGGGGCACTGCTTCCTGCAGGAGGTCAGGGCCCAGTGATTGTGGCTCAGGATGCCTGGGCAGGGTTAAGTGGACTGTCCAAGTGGCAGGAAGTTCTGTGAGGCAGAACAGAAGCTGAGCATCCTGCAATGTGAGAGAAGCAAGGATGCAAGGAGCAGGTGATGGAGGCTGCACCTGGCTCAGACAGAGGTGGTCTCCTTGGGTAGGAAGGGTGCAGGCCCTGACACCTACGTCTGTCTTCTGGCCATGGGGAGGCCAGGAGGGTACTCAGGTCAAGGTGGAAAGGTCAAGTTCAACTCTGCTGCCATCTGCCTTCCTCCTGAGAGCCGGGGCAACACCCATACTTGGTGCCAGTTCCCTAGGGATCTTTGCTTTCCATGCCAAAGGCAGGGTACCACGGGCACTTGGCACAGGTTCCCTCACAAACACTGGGTTGTTGCCAACTTTGGTCTGTTTTCCCGACAGGATGCCTATGTCCGAAGCCCCCCAGGCAGCCGGTGGGCAGGGTGGCGACGCAGGCGACGGCGAGGAGGCCGAGCCAGAGGGGATGTTCCAGGCCCCTACGGAGACCAAGCGCAAAGCTCGGGACTACCTCCGCCTGGCACCCCTGTGGCTGGCTCTGGTTGCACTGGCTGCAGCTGGGGTGATGCTCTGGTATTTCCTAGGTAATGATTAGGCCCACATGGGGAAGAGTTGGGGGATATGTGGGTGCATGGTAGGGGGACCTGTGTTCTAGTCCCAAACCCCTTGCTATGGAGATCTTGGCAGGCCCTTCTTCCTCTCTGTCACCTGCTCTGGGGGAAGGGGTGGGGAGAAATGCTGTGACCATAGCTCAGACAGCTCCCCACTGGGCGAGTGCCCCATGTCTCTGCCAGCTCTTTCAGCCCGCAGTGCTTGAGAACCTGCAAGCCAAGGGCATAACCTTGGCTTCCCTTACCTGCAGCCCTCCTGGATGGTCTTGGGGCATGAGGCCAGCTGCAGAAGGCCCGGAGGCACCAATTAGTGCTTCTGCTCAGTTGAGGCCGTTGCAGTGTCCCCTCTAGACAGGAGCTCACAGCTCCAACACCCAGGCCCTCCAGAGCCATCAGTTTCCTGCTGCCCCAGGGGCCCTGGCACCTGCCTAGGTCCATCCATCCACCCACCTATCCATCCACCCATCCTTCCACCCACCTATCCATCCACCCTTCCTTCCACCCTTCTATCCATCCACCCTTCCCTTCCTTCTATCCTTCTTTCCGTCCATCCCTCCCTTCCTTTTCTCCTTCCTCTCTCCCTCCCTCCTTCTCTTCCTTCCTTCTTCCCTCCCTTCCTTTTCTCCTGCCTCCCTCCCTCCCTCCTTTTCTCCCTCCCTTCTTCCCTCTCTTCCTTCTTTTCTTCCATCCACCCAACCTTCCATCAAATAAACACTTATGAGCATTCACTATTTGACCCCTCTCTTCCAGCTCTCAGCAATAGGAAACGCTGGCGAAGCCCAATTAGCTTGCGCCTCTGGAAATGCTCCTTATACACCGCAGGGGACTCATGTACCCATTCGTTAATTCACGCACTCATCTGCCCTGTGCCAAGCACCTCCCACGTGACTGTCAGGTTCTGAGCCCAGCCCTGGTGATTCAGCCGCCAGTTAGCCCTGGCAATCGCAGCAGAGCAAGACCTATGCATGACACAGGCAGCCCAGGTCAGGAGCCATGACAGAAATGACCCAGCACCCACTAGTGATTGGAACTTTCCTGTTGGAGAGTGGGCAAAGGTTAGAGGGCATCTGCTGGCTCCAGGTCAGGGTGCCATCCCAAGCCCATTGAAAGGAACTAGGAGGCCAGTGTAGGATCACTGGTGACACATCTGCCTGGGCTGGTGTGGAAGCTGCCCTGGAGTGAGGTTGCCTGGAGTCCTAGGTCTGTGTCGGTGATACTACGCAGACCTACAGCACAGCAGGGAGCGTATGTGGGGCACATGTCACCAGCAGCAGGAAGCCAGCATCCCAAATGGCACAGGGTGCTAGCTTTTTTTTTTTTGCCACAAACCCCGGATGCCAGGCACCACAAGCAAGCCACACAAGAGGTCCTTTATTCTGGTAGGGGAAGTGTGTGTGGGGGTGCAGCTGTGAGGGAGAGAGAAAGCAGGAGCATAGAGCAAGTGCAGAGAGACAGAGAGAAGAGCAGAGCAAAGAGGCATCTTTTATAGTCTTGAGGTGGGTTTGGGGAGTGTAGGCTCAGGGGTTGCAGCTGTAGGTGGACACCAGGGATAAATGCCTCAGGGGACTGGTAAGCAGGGCCAACAGGTATGGGGGTCACAAAGCACAGGGATTGGCGGAGAGCTTAGTGGGCCTTACAGGGACCGAAACCTAGAGAATTTATGGTAGTGTTGGGTAAACAGGCATTCTGGGTGTCACTGGGTCCAGGATGGAGGGGTCAGTCTTCAGGGGCAGTGTTCAAGTCACCGCTTACACCCCGACTTTGCTTTTTCCCTTGACTTCTTTCTCTCTCTTTCTCTCTCTCCCTCCCTCACTCCCGCATCAGCCCCACTTTCTTAGCAAGCTGAGTTACCTCTGGGTCACCATGCTGATCAGATTTCATCACTATCACCCTGTCGCCCTTAGTTGGTGGACTCCCACCTGGATGACCCCTGGGCTCTGTGCTTTATTTTTTAAGATTAATTTGCATTGGAGAGGCAGGTTTACAGAGAGAAGGAGAAACAGAACAAAAGATCTTCCATCTGCTGGTTCACTCCTCAAATGCCTGCAATGGCCAGAGCTAAGCCTTTCTGAAGTCAGGAGCTGGGAGATTTTTTCCAGGTCCCCATGTCAGTGAAGGATTCTAAGATTTTGGACTGCTGCTTTCCCAGGCTACAAGAAGGGAGCTGGATGGCAAGTGGAGCAGCCAGGACTTGAACCGGTGCCCATATAAGATGCCAGTGCCGGCAGGTAGAAGATTAGCCTGTTGAGCCACCATGTGGCTCCTGTGCCTCCTGTCTTCCTGTTCTTGCCTTTGCCCACTCCTCACTGCTTCCCCAACTTACCAGCAAACACCTGACCCTGAGGCCTTTGCACGTTTGGCTCTGTCTGCATGGAACACTCCTTCCACAGGCATGCATCCATCACACTGCAGCACCACCCACCCCGTCCACGTGCTCTGCGATGCACTATAGAGCACATCTCTTGTTCATCCCTAGACTGTGGGCTTTTCCTTGTTATGTCAGTCCTCACTCAGGGTAGGCTCTCTATAAGTGTTGGTTGTGTGAATGAGTAACTGGATGAAGGGACATATAAAAAGAGCCTTTGAATCTTCTCTCATATTTATTTACTTACTTGAAAGGCAGGGTTATAGAGAGAGAGGGAGACAGACAGAAACTTTCCATCCGCTGCTTCTCTCCCCAAATAGCTGTCTGGAGTTGGGCTGGTCCAAAGCCAGAAACCAGGAGTTTCTTCCGGTCTATGCAAGTGTAACAGGATCCCAAGGACTTGGACCATCTTCTGTTATCCCAGGCACATCAGCAGGGAGCTGGATGGGAAGCAGAGCAGCCAAGACCCAAACCAGTGCCCGCTTTGGATGCTGGTGCCACAGGTGGTATCTTAACGTGCTAGGCTACAGCACCGTGTTACAAATGCTGTTTGTAGAATAGAAATCTGATGACCTCATTGCAGCTTCAAACTTCTCTCAGTTTCCTTTGGTCATCGGATGAACACCCAGACCTGCCCTGCCAATGCTCCCGCAGCTTGCAACTTATCCCTTTCTAATCACTCTAGCAGGACTGGCCCATCCTTGACTTTGGTCATGGCTGCTATCCCCCTGCCTCGGGGCTTCTGTACAAGCTCTTTCCTCTGCCTCAGTGTTACTTCCCTCCCTCTTCCCATTCCGCATGCGTGGGCTGGAGGGATGCACTGACTTAGGCCTGTTCCTTTCCTGTCTTGTTTTTAAATCTATTTATTTTTAGTGGAAAGGCAGCTTTAGAGAGAGAGAGAACGAGAGATCTTGCATATGCTGGTTCGTTCCCCAAATGGCTGCAACAGCCAGAGCTCAGCTGATCTGAAGCCAGGGGCTGAGTTTCTTCCACATCTCCCACCTGGGTGCAGGGACCCAAGGCTTTGGGCTTTCCTTTGCTGTTTCTCAGGCCACAGGCAGGAAGCTGGATGGAAAGTGGAGCAGTCAGGACACGAACTGGGGCCCCATGGGATGTCAGCATTTGAAGGTGAAGGAAAAGCTGGCTAAGGCACGGGCCCCAGGCTTGTTCCTTTGCTATGTGTCCATTCCATTGACCCCGTACTTCTCATTCATAGCCCCCTTCCCAGACATGGGAGTGACAACCCGCTTGTCCAGCATCCTTACTCTGTAAGGGCATGAGTGGCTGTCTTGGTTCAACAGGGTAGCCCATGCCATGGGGGCTTCAGCATGCTCTGTGGCGCCCCCTGGTGACATGATGAGTGGAAGGCCAAAGGACAGAGAGGTCTGTTGACCCAGGACCTTGGCCTTCTGGGTCTTCCTGGGGGCTTCGTGGTCTTTAGGTCATCCTTGTCCTTTGAGATCGTGTCCACCTGTAGATCTCTCTCCTGTGGGCAGTCAGGAGCCATTTGCATGATGCTGGCAACAATGACACAGGTGAGGAGGAGGAGAAAGGCAGTTGCCATGATGCTGTCACGCCATGGAGCTCCAAACCCTGGAGGCTGCACTGAGGGTTGGGGTCGCGGCAGGAGGCTACCTCACTTACCATGCATGTCCCCTTCTGGGCAGGGTACAAGACGGATGTGACTGTCAGCCAGGTGTATGCAGGCAGCCTCCGGGTGCTCAATCGCCACTTCTCCCAGGACCTTGCCCGCCGGGAGTCCAGTGCCTTCCGCAGTGAAACAGCCAAAGCCCAGAATGTGGTAGGGAAGGATGGTGGGGATGCATGGTGGGGGCAGGGATGGGAGGGGGCATCCTGCAGGCACGTGGTATGGGGGTGGGAGAGTGAGCAGGCTGGCTCAGAGGCACTTGAACTAGACCCTAAGGGAGTCCCTCACAAGCTGTGAGGTGGGACACTGTCGGAGTGTGTGAGCTGTCTGTGACACTGCCGTGGCCTGCTGCATTGAGGTCGGCCCATGCTGGGGCCGGGGAGCCTCATGGAGGCTGGGAGCTGGAGAAGGCAGAGCAATCCCCATTCTCTTGGCAAGGGGTCAGCTCAGGGTGTTCTGTGGATCAGCTCCCAGGGGTGGCCCAGAGACACCTTTGTGCATGCCTACAGCTCTGCTCTGCTCATCAAGAGCCCGCAGAAGGTTCATGTCCTGGCTGAGGGCCCCAGCTGACCCCTTCCCAGAACTTTCTGGATCCAGCAGGGCTGCCCCAAGGCACAGAGCACACCTTCACGGGGCGGGGGCAGGTGTGCCGCAGAGGATCATGGGGCTGCCATCTCCTCACAGCTCAAGGCGCTCATTGCCAGCACCCGGCTGGGTGTCTACTACAATGCCAGCTCCGTCTACTCCTTCGGGTATGTTGTCCTTAGGCCCCAGCCACCCCTCCGCCCCTGCTGGGACCTCGGATTCCAAGGGTTGGAGGGGACCTGAAGGAAGTGGGTAAATGAAGGCACGGATGAGAGGCTTAGCTGGTGACCACCCTTCACAGAGCTTCCTGTTCTCATCTGTGGGTTGGGTACAGTGATGTGGTAGAGTATGTACCAGATGATGACCACAACAGGCTGGTGAAAGGGCCTGGTACTTATTGGGAGGTGGGTTTTGGGAGCACAGGCCCCAGGCCTCAGCCAGACCAGCTCTACAGCCTCACAGCTGTGCCTCAGTGTTCTCGCTTGTCAAATGGAGCTTCCCTGTGAAGGTGGAGATCAGTGCCTGGGCTGTCGGTAGTGCTCCGCGCTCCCCATAGGAGCGGGGCCTGAGCCAGTAGAGGGGGAAGTTGAGAGGGAGGTGTGGGGCAGGACACAACTTCCGGCTCCTTTCCTGGCCCCCTCACTTCCGCCTGCCTTAGGGAGGGACCACTCACCTGCTTCTTCTGGTTCATCCTCCAAATCCCGGAGCACCGCCAGCCGATGCTGAGCCCCGAGGTGGTGCAGGAGCTGCTGGCGCAGGAGCTGCTGTCTGCGGCCAATGACTCAGCGCCTGCTCCCTACAGGACTGAGTACGAGGTGGACCCCCAGGGCCTGGTGATCCTCGGTCAGTACTTAAAGGTGATGGGTGGGGGTGGGGCAGCCTAGAGAGGCCACTGCTAGGGCTGGGGTGCTCTCCGGGACCCCTGGCCCCATGCCTGCTGGGACAGGAGGGCGGGCAGGGATGGCAGGATGAATCTCAACCCAGGGCACGCTAATGGCCTCCAGCATTTTCACTTGCACTGCATTTCCTTTGAGAATCGATTTGGCCCTTGCTTATTTCTTTGTCCGTTTCCTCTCAACAGAAGCCAGTGTGAAAGACATAGTTGCGCTGAATTCCACGCTGGGTACGCGTCTCCGTTCTCCTCCCCTCGCCTGTGGCGTTGCTGGCTTTCTTGGCTTAGTTGAGGGATGGGAGGCCACAGGGTGTCTAGGGCAGGGGAGCAGCAGGATGCTGACCTGGACTCACCCCCCAGGGGAGGCACAGGGTGAGGGGCTGTGAGATGGGGCTGAGTGAGGGCAGAGGGTGTTGTGCACCTGTGTAATGTGTGTCTTGCACGTTGTCTGTGAGCATGGGCAGCGAACTTAGTCACAGATGAACTCCACTCTGCTTTTCTGTCGTTCAATCCAACTTGCCCACGGGCCACCGTAGACACCTATGGCCACCAGCGGGAAGTCCTTCATCACCCTGGGCTTTCAGCTTGAATTTGTGAAGGTAGCAGCTGGACCCTGTCCTAGGTTATGGTGCCATATTGCTTTGTTCGCTCTGCTCTCACCTAAGAGACCTGCCTGGCTTCCCCCTGCACATCTCTGGATGGGCACAGCCCACATGGCAGTCTGGGGGCTCCTGGAGTTACAGAGTGTACCAGCTGGGCTTCTGTCCCGTGCAGTCCTCTGCACATGACCCTAATTCTCAGATAACGCCCTTTGGACTTTCCCACAGAGGGTTGTGGTTCTGGCAAGCACCTTGAGCACCTCCAACCCGTCTGAGGGAGGCACAGGGTCTGGGTCCCAGTTCTGCCCTGTCTGACCTGTCCTGTCTCCTGCCCTGCTGGCAGGCTCTTTGTTCCTGAGGGAGTCGAGGCAGCAGGGGCTCATTTAACTCATTAGTGAGGGGGAACCCATAGGGTGGTAAAGAAACAAGTTGACCTATCTGTGTATCTGTCTGTGAATTTATGTATCCATGCACTCACCCACCTTTCTATTTATATCTGTCTACCCACTTACCTATTTATTATCATCTTCATCTACTTATCTATCCATGCATCATCCTCCCATCTGTTCATCCTGCTCTCCCTCTCAGTCATCCTCTATCCACCTATCATTATCATCTAGCCATCTATCATCAGACGTATCATTATCTGTCCCTCTATCCTAACTATCTGGCCTTCCATCTACCATTTACCTATCTTCATCATAATCTATTCATCCATCTATTTATTTATCTACCATCTACCTATCCGTCCTCATCATTACCATCCAGCCCTCCATGTACCTGTGTGTCATTATCTGACTTTTTATCGCTATTGGACAGAAGCATGCTGGACCAAGATTGACAGTGCAGATGCAACACTGACTAACACCCCGCCAAGGGAATGAAATCACACCTCAGGGTGGAGGGGTTGTCTTTTCCAGTGGTCCCAGGGTTTGCAGCTGGACAGTTTTCTAGAAGCTGGCATCTGGCTCCACGAAGCTGGGACCTGCCACCAACAGTCACAAAGTCAGGGGGTCTTTGGGCATCCCATCCCTACCATATTTACTATAGAAGCAAAATCTGAGTAATAAAAAATTTATTCCATTCATTCGTTTTGATTTAGAAAACAGTGAGAAATTCATTCACCTTAACATATTTATATTTTTAAAAAATGAGTCATTTCCAAAAATTTCTCACAGTAGAAAGCACCAGTGATAGATAGCCTGCAAGGCCATGGAACAAGGGCAAGGTCTTCCTGGGAAGAGGTGGACAGCAGGGCCTGACCGATCCAGGACAGAGGAAGAACTGTGTCTCCAGGGGCAGCTGCTGAGCACAGTGGGAAGGGGCTGCTCCTGACTGACCGATGGCCTGGTGGAGCAGCCGCCTCTGCCTCACAGCCTTGGGGAGAGGTTCACACACAGGTGGCAGGAGGGATGACACACTTGTTTCTTTTCCACTGGCCCTGAGGCCTAGATCAAGCACACAGCAGGTGCTAAGTGAATGAACGAGTATGTAGACTTTGTATGGCATTGCGAGTTCAAGCATCGGGTCTGAGCCACGCATGCCATGTAACCCATGGGGGCAGGAGTGAGAGCAAATGTACGACGGGGCCTGTGTCTGGGAGACAAGTCCCAGAGCTTCCCTCCCTCTGCTCCGCCACTCCACCCTTACTGAGCACCTACAGCGTACAGGGCTTCAGGCCAAGCTGTCAAATGCAGGTCTGCAAAATGGGCACAGTAACAGGAAGTGAGCAGGCCAAGACATCACATGTCCTATGTGTGCCTCAGGCCCCAGCGTGAGTCAAACGCCCCACAGGCACTGCTGTTCTGTCCTTGTTGCTTCATCACTGATTGCCTCCACTGGGGATGCATTGCAGCTGTGCCCCTCTCTGTTTTTCTGCCTGGAGGGCAATCCTCATGTCTTGCCCTGTATGGCACAGCCACCCCGCTGGCCTCCCAGGCCCCTTGTTGGTACTCCAAGCTGCACCTGCCATGACCACAGGATCAGTTGCTGGGATGTGTGTCGTGTGTCTGTCTCTGGCTTCCTCTCTTGCTATCTGGGCTCCCTCTGATCACATAGCCTGTTTCTGCTCAGGCTGCTGCCCCCAAGGTGGGCCTGACCCCCACAGCCCGCCCTGTGCTGAGCCAGGATTGCCTGTCTTTGCCCCCAAAGCCTGAACATTCATTGGGTACTTCCTTGGTGAGATCAGCTCAGTAAGAGTGAGTGAATGAATGATACAACCCTGAGCCAGTGCGTGCCTGAGGGGGCTCGGAAGCAGAAGCAGCAGAGACACTGTGGGGGTGGATAGCACAGTTCCCACCCCTCCCCAGGGGTGCCCCCTTGTAGGGACCTGCTCTCTTGGGGCTGCTCTTCTGGCTAACAGGGGTCAGGGGGTCTGTCCCTCTCCTTCTCCAGGCTGTTACCGATACAACTACGTGGGCCAGGGCCACACCCTCCAGCTGAAGGGGCCCGACCACCTGGCCTCCAGCTGCCTGTGGCACCTGCAGGGCCCCGCGGACCTCATGCTCAAACTGCGGCTCGAGTGGACCCGGGCTGACTGCCGGGACCGGCTGGCCATGTATGACGTGGCCGGGCCCCTGGAGAGGAGGCTCATCACCTCGTGAGTGTCCCCGGGGAAGGTGGGCATAGGATGGGCTCCTAGGGGTTGGGGCTAGAGGGTGTGAGGTCAACGGTCACCTGCAAGCCTTTGGGGAACAGCAAGGCCAGAAGAAGGTGGATGCGCTTGAGCACCAGTTTCCCCATCTGGAATAAAACTGCTGTTCTAAGTTGGCCCTGAAGGTGAGCTCTGAGAGATGACCACACTGGTCCACAAATGTTTCAGAGTTCAAAGCAGCCCAGAGCTCCAATCCCTGATCTGGCTGCTGCCTAGCTGAGTGCCTCTCTGAGACTCAGTTTTCACATCTGTAAAATGAGTACATCTCTTTCAGGGTTGTTGTTAGGAGTTAAGAGTCCTCACACTTAGTCCTAGCTCCCATCACTGCAGAGAGGCTAGGCGGGGCCAGGTGGAGGAGGAGGAGCTTCAGGATAGGAGCACTCGGGCTGAGGTCCAGAAGTGCCAGGGGTCAAAGGACAGGAAAGAGAGCTGGCCTCCAGGGTGAGGAAAGAGGTTGCAGTTGATTGTTTTCCTGGTCGCTCTTTACTAAATACTCACTCGGTGGCAAGTCCAGTTGCCATGTGAGTGATGCCCCTATGGGTTCCAACCCAGGACCGTGGCCAGGTCTTCTTTCCAGCTGTGCAGCCACACACTCCTCGGCCAATCTTGGCAGAGATCGGGGGTGGGGGGTAGGGGCAGGGCCAAGCTCCACTCTTGATGCAGCACCAGGGCCCTGCGGCTAAGGAAAACAAGCACCCACTCCTGCCCCCTGCAGCAAGAAAGCCTGGTACCCCAAACCCTGGTAGTCTCTGGTCCCTCTAAGAGCTCTAAGAGTTGATCTCCCTACCCCTAAGGGCTGTGGAATGAGGGAACCAGTGGAGCTGAAGAGAATGCAAATGCCTGGGAGGGCGTGCCCAGCTGGGGGAGTCAGGGCATCAAGACAGGAAGAATAGGGGGGTTGAGAAGAATGTGAGGAATGACAAGGGACCAGAAAGACACAGGAGACTGGGGGCCACATTCCCTCCCCACCTTTGCTTCCACATGACCAGGACAGGAGGCTAGCGGGATCAGGGCTGGCTGGGCTCAGGCACTTACTTGCCTTGAGTTCCCTAAGATCCCTTGCGTGAGGCTGGCAGGCAGCTCAAGGCCCATGCTGCAAGGCAAGGAAGCGGGGATTAGCTGGGAACAGCTTGGTAGGATTTCCAAGGCCTCCAGAAAAGCCACAGGCACCCCAACCTCTCCACCCAGTTTGATATGGGCAGACCAGGGGGCACTGGTACATGCCAGAGGGGCCTGCTATCTCAGGCAGGGCCTGGCATGAGCCTGTCTCTGATGTGGACTCAGTTTCCCCATCTGGAAATGAAGCAATTGGCCCTGATAGACTGGAGGGAGATTTTTCTAGATAAGTCTAGAATCCTAAGGACCTCTTGTCTGTTCCCATGCCTCCGAGGCCAGCTCTGTAGCATTTTAGAGTCTTGCCTGAGCACCCATTTGCTTCCTCCCTAGCCCAGTCCAGGACAAGTCTAAGCATTGGGAGAGGGGGAGGGCATCCAGAGAAGGTGGTCCCTGAAGCTGCCATTTGGGGTCTCTGCCAAGAGGGCTCTGTGTTTGTGAGGGCTACTGTGGGATGAGAGCCAGCCTGACCAATGTCCAGAAGGTGGGGGACAGAGGCATCACCCCTGTCTCACTGGAGATGCACCCTGGATTCAGAGATGACACTGGGCTAGTCCCAGACCAGAGGCCAAAGCCTGCCATCCTCCGTCCCTCCTGCCTGTGTCCTCCCGTCCAGGCCCCAGGTCTACCCTCACCGCCCTTCTATGTCCCACCAGGGTCTATGGCTGCAGCCGCCAGGAGCCCGTGGTGGAAGTGCTGGCATCAGGTGCCGTCATGAGCGTGGTCTGGAAGAAGGGGCTGCACAGCTACTACGACCCCTTCATGCTCTCCGTGCAGCCCGTGGCCTTCCAGGGTGAGCCTGGGGCAGCCTGGGACCAGGAGATAATCTTCGTGTGAACTTTGCCCTGGTTGGGCTTGGAATGGGGGCAGGTTTTGGAAGTCCCTCAGGTCTCCACACCTCCTTCCCCTCCTGTCTTTCCTGCTGTCTCTGTCCTTGTCTGTCCTTCTCTCTCTCCTCCCCCCCCATCTCTGCATCCTCCACCCCCCTCCCCTGCACAGCTCAGCCTCCCAGTGTGTGGAGGGAGGAGGGGAGGGCAGGGGATATGCAGATTCAGCCCCTGGCATGCTCAGGGCAATGTGCCCTCAGTGATCTCAGAGGGCATTCTGGGGAGGTGAAAACCCCCGCCCCCATGCTCATCCAGCCCCCCACTCTCCTCTTGCTTCTGGATTGCCCATCCTGAGGCACACACCTCACCTGCCTTCCGTTGCTGTCCCAGGCCCGGTAGCCACGCCCATGGGTGGGCAAAGCAAACCTTGAGAGGTCTAGAGCAGGGATGGGAAGGGGAGGTGGCATTTGGCAGGGGAGGAGGGTGCTCTTCCAGCTGTGTCCCCACTCACTGTCCTCCCTCCTTGTGGTGGACCTCTGAGATCTTCAGTAGCCGGCCCTGCTGGACTGCCAAGAGGTCGGCTGAGCTGGCTCTGTCCACTTGGGAGCTGTCACTCAGGCCAGGGGGCTGGCAGGACAACGTGAAGACACTCAGTTTTCCCTCCTGCAACCCCTGGAGCTGTGGGGTGGCCACAGCCAGTGTGTGCACAGTACCCCACTGCCTGCAGGGAGGTCTGAGGGCTTCAAGCCCATTTTGTGGACTCAGTAGCCCTGGGAGGTGGGTACTGTTGCTATAGAAACCCCCATCTGGCTCTGCTTACTCAGCGTGCAGCAAGTTGATGAGTGACATGCAACTGGTGGGAGGAAATGGGAACTCCTTTGCAGTGGACAGGGTAGAGAACTGGGCAGCTATGGCCCAATTCCCAGGCGGCAATCAAAGAGGGGGCAGAGCCGTGTGAGAATCTGATTTCTGATTGGTTCTCGCTGCTCATGGCCCTTCTCTGACTGGTGTGTTCTGTGGAGCTGGGTTCTGGATTCGGATTCCCGAGGTCCACAGGGATGGCCTCAGGTCTGATTGAGTTTGCCTGTAGGAAGGAGTTGACCTGTGTCCCTCCAGCTACATATATCCAAGGCGCAGCCGTAGCCCCCATTTTATAGATGAGGAAACTGAGATCGCAGCTTTCACAATTCTATCCTACCTGTGGGCGGTGTTGTCAGTGACTGGGGAGTTAGTGGGTGACAAACTGCCCCCAGAATCAGGTGAGAGGATTGGCTGAGCAGAGCCCCTAATGATTTGTTCTCTGGGCCCAGACTGCCAGGTGAACCTGACCCTGGAGGGCCGGCTGGACCTGCAGGGCGTCCTCAGCACACCGTACTTCCCCAGCTACTACTCGCCCAGTACCCACTGCTCCTGGCACCTCATGGTGAGCCTGCCCTCTGTCCCCAGGGGAGGTGAGGACTCATGGCCTCCGAGACCCAGGCTGGCCCTGGGGGCTGGGGAGTGTTCCATCTCTGCTGAAGTGCCCACAGCCCAGGTCCTGGGCATAAAGCTGGTGAGCAGACAGCAGCTGTGGCCAAGGTCTCCCTCTGTTGGTTGTAGTGGTGCCCGCTGGTTGAGTGACTGACAAACGTTAGTTTTGGTTGGTGCTGTGTGTGTGTGGATGGTGGGCTGGAATGGAGTCCTTCTTGTTCTCCTGGGAGGTGGGTCCACAAGGCTGGCCCTACTCACAGGCCACCTGATTGGCTGATGGGCTTGTCCCTCCTAGGTGCCCTCTTTGGACTACGGCTTGGCTCTCTGGTTTGATGCCTACGCGCTGCGGAGGCAGAAATATGACCTGCCATGCACCCAGGGCCAGTGGATGATCCAGAATAGGAGGTGATGCCCCCCCAGAACCCCTTCCCCTGGGTTCTAGATCTTGAGGGGAGCAGAGGGAAGCCAGCAGGGGTCCTAGTCCTTCTCCTGTGGCCCCCAGACCCCCAGGGTGTACTCAGAGCCTGTGAATGTTGGTTCTACTCCCAGCAAAGCAGTTGTACCTCCAGGGCTGCTATGAGTCCTGGGGGGCTCCCTGAATGCTCCAATGAGAAGACATGGGTGTCCAAGGGCTCATGAGCATGTGACAGCCTTTGTCTCGACCTCGCCACGTGTCTGCTCCTGTCCCACTCACTGTCACACAGAAGCCGAGACCAGTCTGCCTACCTCAGCAGCTCCATATCTCCTGCCTACCCCCGCTCTGCCCAGGGCCCCCATGCTGCTCCCTGCTTCCACCCTTGGCCTCTCTGGTGGAAAGGTTTCACACTAGCAAGGGGGGGAAGTGGAGGGTAGCACAAAGTCAGGAGCCATCACTATGACCACCACTGGAGCTGGGCTGTGACCAGGGCTGTGACCAGCAGGACATGGACAAGCAGTGTCCCTGGGGCCAGCGCCACTGCAGGGGCTGGCGTCTTCTGTGTCACTGAGGTGCAGAAGGGACCAAGTGACACTGGCTTCCAAGGTCTGAGGGGGGTGGGGAGGGGGTGGGGCGAGTGCAGCTCTGGTTGCTTTGTCCGACACAGACCTGTGTCGCACACTGGGCATTGCATTACAAAGCATGTAAAGGGAGGTGCAGGTGTGGGGCGTGGGGAGGGTGATGAAGCTGGAGGGGTTGGAGGTGGCAGAGGGGTTGGAGAAAGACCCTCCCGTGGCTCTCTTGTTGTGTGACGATACAGGTTTAGAAATAGAGCAAGGATCCTTGCAGAGGTGAGGAGACCCTTCCCCACATGGGGCCCAAGGGGGCGGGAACTTCTGCCCGGGCAGCCCCGAGCCTGGGGGAGCAGTCCAGCCAGCATGATTGCCAATGTTCTGGCTTCACAGATGCCGAGTGTCTGGGAGGCCAATGCCAGCAGATGGAAAGATTCTAGAACTCTAGAATGCTGGGACCTGGGTTGGTGTCCCCATCTTTCCACACTTGAGGTTTGCTTCAGGGTCAATTTCATCCCAAAGGATGATACAGGCACAAGGAGACAGAGATTGGCACTGCGTCTCAGGTGGCTGCCCTGGGCCAGGGGCTAGGAGAGCTGGCCACGGTGGGAGTGAGACAAGTGGGGTGGGGCACCCTTGAGCTGACTGGGGAACAGAGTGTACTAATCCTTGTCTGTGGGATGGGATGGGGGTGCGGAGGGGTGCGTGTGGCAGTGGCTGTCTTGGTCCTTCCTGGATCCCTGAGGGCTCTCCCCACCTCCCCATTAGTAACAACAGCGTTCAGAGTGGCCTTGAGGTTGACCCCACCGTGATTCACAATTCTGAGAAGGTGGTTGTGGCATGCCTTCCTGCCGCCCGCCTCCCGCAGAGCAGAATGTAACAGGAGGAAGAGGAAAAAGCCTCAGGTCCTGGGTCTGATGCCTTCCACCTGGGCCCTGTCCTCTGTGCAGGAGGCTGTGCCTGGGTGCCAGGTTTTGGCAGTGTAGGGGCGCACTAGGTTCATTAGCCTGACAACCTTCCTGGTCACTGGCGCTGTTCCCAAGGGCACTGAGGCACAGAAGGGACCAAGTGGCACTAAGATGAGCCCGTGGTCAGGACTGCTCCCACACAGGTTATCAGCTAAGAACAGTGGGGTGCAGGACTGTCCCCCTCTCTCCCCAGTGCAGCCAGAGTGGCCAGGTGAGGATCTGGGTGCTGGGGTGTGGGAGACTCCATGAGCCACTGCTGGGGGGAGATGTCTGAAACTTGGATGGGGACAACTCCATCATGGCAGTATCCACCCTGCACCCTAAAAGCATCCCGCATATTGGAGGGAAGTTGTGCCCGAGTTGGTGGTGGCTGTGTTGGCCATGCAGTCCAGCTTGCTCCCAGAATAGCAGCTGCCATGGACCAGCTAGGGACTTGGCTTAAAGATTTACTTGATTTATTGGCGAGGCAGAGTTACAGGAGTGGGACAGGAGAGACTGAGTGAGATCATTCAATCGTTGGTTTACTTCCCCAAATGGCCATAATGGCCAGGGTGAACTAGACTGAAGCCAGGAGCCAGGAGCTTCTTCTAGGTCTCCCATAGGAGCCCAAGGCCTTGGGTCATAATCAGGCCATAGTCAGGGAGTTGGATGGGAAGTGGAACAGCTGGGACACAAACATAAGGGATGCTGGTGCCCAGGTGACTGCCAGGTCACACCAGGCAGTGTGATTAGAGTGTGTGGTTGCACACATCTGTCTATGCATGCAGCCATGCGCCTGTGCACACCCTCACCATGTGTGGGCTCCTTCCCTCGACCCCAAACAGCCCCCCTGATAGCTGTTAACTCTTGGTGCTGCAATGTCACCCCATCCATCAGCATCCTGCTAGTTGGGGAGTGGTCTTCAGTGACTAAGGGGTCTAGTTCAAGGGCAGCCTGATTCAGCCCGGTCCCAGAGCCTCAGCTCTTCCCCCAGTGACTCAAAGTAGACAATCAACTCTCCTGCGCTCCCAGGCTCCTGCCCGGAGTGGTTAGGACAGGCTGGGGAGGAGGGGAGCGGGGCAGCTGTGGACCATGTGCCATTGGCCCTTTCCTTGCAGCCATGTGCAAGATATTGAAGGAGGTTTTGCTGGAAAGCTCCATGAGTGGGTGGTACTGACAAGTGAGGGCTGAGAAGGGTGGACATGCAGGCTCGGGGCTTGTGGGAGGGACAAGCACAGCCCCTTGACCCTGAGTAGCCACAATGGAAAGAAACAGTGGGTGGGCGGGTCCAAGGCATGGTTGCTGGGGACCATCTGGCTGGTCCCTCTTTGGGCTAGGCATTCTTGGGCATCTTGTTTGACCCCTCTAAGCCCTTTCTTTTATGCCTGTCCTCCTCCACTTCCCTGGTTTCCAGCTCCTCTCATGCCCACCTGCCTTTCGAGTCCATGCCTACCTGGGGAGCGGAAGAAGGCCTTGGCCTTGTGAGATGGGACCCTGGTTGCTGACTTTCTCATAAGCTACTCTTGCGGGGTGCCCCTGCCACGCAGGCTTCCCCCTTTCTGGGAACCTGCCGCCCACCAGCTTCCTGTGATGTCACTTGTCTTGCTATCTGCCCAGCCCTTTCTACTTACTCCTGGCTGATGGGCATGGGCAGAACACAGCTTCTGTGAGCTGCTATAGCGTGACCCGGGCACCCGAGAGTGGGAGATGGCCAGGCAGGAGGTGGCGGCCCCCAGCTGTAGCCCCAAGGGAGGAGAGCTCACAGCCTGACCCTGTTAGCAACAGATGGAACTTTCTGAAGCGTTTCTTAAAACGCTAGATAGCAGGGATGGATCACTCCCATGCTAGACAAGGCCCTGGGCTGCACGGTGAGGTCTGTGGGGAAGGTGTGGCTTTTAAGGTGACGTTCTGTTGGCGGGTGATGTCACTTTCCCTGGCCACAGCATAGTGCCTCCCAGGTTGAAATGTACTAGAAATGAGGCTGGGGAAAGTTAAGATGCCCATGGCAGTAACCCCTCCTTCACTTCCACAGTGCCCGCGGCCTGGACAGTTCAGGAACTGGATCCTCTTCCCTCCCCTCATCCTGCCAGCCCTCCCCCTCCCCCTGCCAGCCCTCCACCTCCAGTCTGTTCGGACATGCCTGGTATCTTCAAGTTCCTGATCCCCTGCCCACTTCCTGGGGGTGCCCTGTTGGGGGTTCCTCATAGAATGCTTGCTTTTCCACTTTAAAAATCAAAACCAATCCAATGTCCATTGGTTTGCCAGGAGCCCTCAGGGCTATCCTGCTGGCCAGGGAGATGAGGGTGCCCTCTGCTGGTGGATCCTGCCCATGTGGTCCGGGGTGGAGTGGGGTAGGCTGCAGCAGAACCTGAGTTGATTCAAGACTTTTTCTTCCTGTAAAACGACTGGGGAGAGTTCTTTTTAAAGGATTCTGCTTCTGCTAGTCATGTTTCTATACCGGCAGTATTAGAAATTAACCCTGAGAAAATTTTAAGTCTTTATTATCACTTCTCTGCAGATCCACTTTCCTATTTTCAGCGATCCCAAATTTCATATGGAAAGTTCCAGAACTAAAGAATGGATGCATTTTGTTTTTATTCTTTGGAAAGATTTATTTATTCATTTGAAAGGCAGAGAATAAATGACCAGAGCAACCCAAACTGGGCCAAATCAAACCCAAGAGCCTGGAATTCCCCCAGTGTCTAGAGCGGATACTGGACTTCCGTGTAGGCATGGACGCACAGGGAGGAGGAGTCTACCTGGAAATTGGGACCACCCATGGTGTCAAGTGTCACTTGGGGGGGTTGGATTTTATTCAAACTCCTTCCTTTAAAAATAATGCACCGATAATGCGTTAACGATCGCATAGTTTACGACAAGATAATTATCTTGGTCAAGGCCATTTAGCCGTAAGAGGGTTGTGTTTCCAGGAATGCTTCCCTGATCAGGCGTCTCAGGCCTCTAGTTGGGCGCAGTGGCGCAGTGAGCCTAGTCCCGGAGAGCTCCCGTCTCTGTAACCAGATGAGGGCAAAAAGCTCAGCGATAACTGAGTTTCCCGGGACTGTTGTGACATTTGGGTTCCTAGAGCTGCCCTTGCCTGTGGGCATGGGGCCAGCAGCCCAGTGGGGGAGGGGGCGCCCAGCTGTTAGATCTGGTCCCTGGAGGGTGCTCGGAGACATGTGGGGGAAGGGATGGCTCACAGTGCAGTGGGAAAGCGGGGTGCCCTTCTCCCTAGCAGGCTGGCTGAATTCTCTGCAGCTCCAAGGAGCCTTGAATTCTGGCTCGAGCTTGGCTTTGTTCCTTGCGGGCCTCAGCTGTGAACTGGAAAGACAGGGAATCTTTTTTTTTTTTTTTTAAAGATTTATTTATTTTTATCAGGAAGTCGAATATACAGAGGAAAATCTTCCATCCGATGGTTCACTCCCCAAGCTGCCACAACAGCTGGAGCTGAGCCAATCTGAAGCCAACAGACAGGAGCTTCTTCTAGGTCTCCCACACGGGTGCAGGGTCCCAAAGCTTTGGGCTGTCCTAGACTGCTTTCCCAGGCCACAGGCAAGGAGCTGGATGGGAAGCGGGACTGCCAGGATTAGAACTGGCACCCATATGGGATCCTGGTGTGTTCAAGGTGGGGATTTTAACCACTAAGCTATCGCACTGGGACCCAAGACAGGGAATCTTCCTTCAGTGGGCAGAGTCCCTGGGGCAGGGCCAGGTCCCCAAGCCCCACCCCACCTTGATAAAGGAATGTTCATTTACATCCTAGAGTACTCAAAAAGAGCTGGGCCTTCAGGCTGCTCCCATAAGGCACCTGCTCTCTGGACTTTTCACCTGTGTCCTCGGGGGTGCCCCAACACATACAGGATGGCAGTGGTTAGGTCCCCGTTAGGGGGTGGTCAGGGGCAGGGCAGGTCCGGGGAGAAGGACTGGGATCCTTCCTGGAAGTCCAAAGAGCCATGAGAAGACAGCCAGGGCAAGAGCTGAGGTCAAGAGCAAGGTCACTGGGCAACTGCTGCCCCTGCTGACACGCTGGGGCCTGCCGCCTACGGGAAGGTCCTTCTCCTGTGTCATGAGGCAGGAAGGGGACTTCGGGGGACTTATGAGGCTCTCCCAGGTGGCTGGGGATAAGATGCAGGCTCCCCACGGACAGCAGGGAGTCTCAGAAGGCTCCTGGGCCAGGGAGTGACACAGTTGGGCTGCCTTCTGAGTGCCCCGAAGGGGAAATCAAGGCAGGCGAGGCATGGCTGGGGGTGCAGGTCGGCCCCTCTGTCCTCCCTCCATTCTTTCCGCCATGTCTTGCTGTCTGAACACCGGACCCAGCCTGTGTGACCTGTGTCCTCTTGGGTCCCCCCAGGCTCTGTGGCCTGCGCACCCTGCAGCCTTACGCGGAGCGGATCCCTGTGCTGGCCATGGCTGGGGTCACCATCAACTTCACCTCACAGATTTCCCTCACGGGGCCTGGCGTGCAGGTGCACTACAGCTTGTACAACCAGTCGGACCGTGAGTATGAGTAGGCCAGAGCATGACGGCCCTGAGCCCTCTGCGGCCTCGCCCTGCCTCACCGCCTGGGCTGCGGGCAGCTGCTTATGAGGCTGGATGAGAAGCGTGTATGCGTGTGTGTGCAGGAGTGAGCATGCTGTGTAACCGTGCTTTGTGTGTACAGGGCAGTGATGTGTGCTTGGGGGACATCGCCACGCTGCTGGCTCATGTGGGTGTGGCATGCATGTCTGGGGGAAGCCTGGGTGGGGGGACTGTGCATCCTGCTGCTTGAGACAGGTATTGGGTGGGGAGGGGAAGGGCTCCTTCACAGCGCCCTTTGCATGGGTTTGCGTGACAATGTGCAGTCTCATGGGGCCCTCCCCGTGACCCCCGCCCCCTGTGTGTCCCCAGCCTGCCCTGGGGAATTCCTCTGTTCTGTGAATGGGCTCTGTGTCCCCGCCTGTGACGGCATCAAGGACTGCCCCAATGGCCTGGATGAGAGGAACTGTGGTGAGCAGCCCCACCCCCTTCCCCAAACCCTTCCCACCTTGGCTGAGCTGAGCTGAATGGAGATGCCCTGCCCCAACCACTGCCACATACATGCAGACCCTGCTATGGGCACCAGGAAGTGGGATTCCCTTGCTATGTTGAGGATGGGAGCTCTGAATGGGAGATCCCAGGGCCACCCCATGCAGGGCTGAGTTGGGACCAGGATCTCCTGCTGGAGCTCAGGACTTCCACCTGCAGTGACTCTGTCCTCTCCTTCCCCAAGGGGGCCCACATCTCTGCCACTCCAAGAACTCAGACTAGGCGCTGCCCACTTGTGCTGCCCATGTCCTTGCCTCCACTCCTGAAGCTTCTGGAAGCCAGGCTCTCTCCCCCTGCCCATTCACAGTTTCCCTGTGTTTGTGTGTGTGGGGGGGTGCACCCCTCTAGGATGACCCTGCTGGAGAGCCGGTAGGAAAGGTGCTTTGTGTCTGGAAACCCAACTTGACTGCCTGCCAGTTCTGACTCAGTCCTGGATCCTGGGTCACTTGACTTTGGCTTCCCAGGGGACAGAGACTGGAGGGCAGCTGGGTGTACTCTGGCCAATGCCCGCTCCTGCACCCCTCCCATTCTGTGTCCCCACAGTGTGCCGAGCCACGTTCCAGTGTCGGGAGGACAGCACATGCATCTCCCCATCCCGGGTCTGTGACCGGCAGCCTGACTGTCTTAATGGCAGTGACGAGGAACAGTGCCAGGAAGGTAGGACGGGGTCTGCAGCGGATGCAGGAAAACACCCCAGGGGGTGCAGTCATGCAGAACATCTTCAGAGAGGCCCCCTCCTGCCCAGACACCCACTGTTTCCCTCTGTACCCACGCCCATGTTGGCCACCCATCCTCCTCCACTTCCCTCTCCTCTTCCATTCATCCATCCATTCATCTATCCATCCATCCTTCCCCTCTTCTATCCATCATTCATCAACCCATCCCTCTTCCATTCATCCACCCACACACCGATCTACATCTGTCCATCCATCATTTGGTCTCCCTGACCAAATGATTAATATAGTTGTTCATTCATTGATCCATTCATTGCCCTATCCAACCACCTACCCCTATCCACAGACCCATCCATCTACCCATTTACGGCTTTATCCAGTTAGCTGTGTGTCCACTGCTCCATTCATCTATCCATCTACTGCTCTCAAGTCACCTGCTTGTCTGTACAGCCCTTATTGATCCATTCTTTATGCGATTTGCCAGTCTCCTTTCTGAACCATCAATCCAACTTATTTCTTGGTCTTCCCCATGTTATGAGTCCATCCTTTTATCCATGTTATGAGTCCATCCTTTTATCCATCAGTCTACCCATTATCCTTCTGTCCATCCTCCAACCATCAGTTTGGCCATCTGCCCACCCATCTATCCATCTGACCAACACTTACAAACTACCCAGTGATAGCCAAGGTGGGTGAGGAATGGAAACAGAAGAATGCCCGCGATGTGGTCTCTGCCCTCTAGGTTCAGCTGCTGGCAGGAAGACACCACAGGTAGCCCTGCTGACCTAAAGTCTTCCACCCATCATGTCTGGGCAGTAGTGTGGAGAGACGGTGTGGCGGGAGGGGATCAGGCCCTGGAAGTTCCCTGGCCCAGGCAGGTTTCGAGTTGGGCTTTGAGGAGAGCTAGAGGGAGGAGAGGAGCTGAAGCTCGTTAGCAGCAGGGAGAGCCAGGTGAGCAGCCAGCTGGCCCAGGGGTGCCATGGCCTGATGGCAGAGGTGTGACCTGCCAGGGCGTGTGGTCAGAGAGGCTGTCAGGCTGCTCATGGACCAAACTGCGTGTGTGATGGGGGAAGGAGACCCTGCTCCTGGCCAGCCCCTCCTGGCCGGCTCTGGATCCTTCTTCCCCTGGGCTTCACTTGAGGCTCAGACGCCTACATTCTGTGCTATCTCCCTTACTCTCCCCCACTCCATCTCAGAGGTGCCTTGTGGGACATTCACCTTCCAGTGCGAAGACCGTAGCTGCGTGAAGAGGCCCAACCCACAGTGCGACGGGTGGCCCGACTGTGCGGACGGCTCAGATGAGCGGCACTGTGGTGAGCCAACCTTGCAGCACCTCAGGGCTAAGGGCAGGGCGCACAGGGAGGTGTCCACAAGACGACCTGTGGGGTACCAGTTGCCCCAGCTTCCTCCCTGACTGCCTATTTCCCTGTCTCCCCATTTCCTCATTTGGTTCCTCCTGTTTCTCACTGGTCTCTCCTTTTCCCTATCCCCTCTGTCCATGGCTGCCTGCTCCGTGCCCATGCCCACAGACTGTGGCCTGCAGGGTCCCTCTGGCCGCATTGTGGGTGGTGCTGTGTCGTCAGAGGGCGAGTGGCCATGGCAGGCCAGCCTCCAGGTCCGGGGGCGCCACATCTGCGGGGGTGCCCTCATCGCCGACCGCTGGGTCATAACCGCTGCTCACTGTTTCCAGGAAGACAGGTGAGTGTCGAGGTGCCAGAGTACAACTGGGGGACAGTGTAGGGCTCAGAGCACGGAGTTGTGCGCAGGATCTCGGCCATGAAGGAGAAGCGCCCCTGGCTGGGCTTCCTTCTGAGTCCAAGCCCTACGTCCACGCCCACTACCGCCAGCTTCTCTGGGCTCTGCTCTGCTCTCTGGCTGTAGGTTGGGTCAATGATTCATTTATTCACTCACTCCTTCATTCATTCTGCCATGTTTGTGTCTTGTCTACATGCCAAGGGGCTGGATGCTGGGCATGTTTTCAGCCTGAGGCCCATGGCTGTCTAGCAGGGTGTGAAGCCGGTGTTAGAGGCCAGGGTGGGATGTTCCTGGCAAGTCCCAGGAGGAAGGGATGGGGTGGGTGTGCGGGATGGGGGTCCCTGAGTGAGGCTGCGCTTCTTCCCCCTTCCCCCACAGTATGGCCTCCCCTGCACTGTGGACAGTGTTCCTGGGCAAGGTGTGGCAGAACTCACGCTGGCCGGGCGAGGTGTCCTTCAAGGTGAGCCGCCTGCTGCTGCACCCGTATCATGAGGAGGACAGCCATGACTACGACGTGGCCCTGCTGCAGCTAGACCACCCAGTGGTGCGCTCGGCTACTGTGCGCCCCATCTGCCTGCCTGCACGCTCCCATGTCTTTGAATCCGGCCTGCACTGCTGGATCACAGGCTGGGGTGCCCTGCGTGAGGGTGGTGAGTAGCCCATGGTCTGGGAGCTGGTAAGCCCAGTGCAACCCAGGAGAAGGGCCCTGGGCACTGGGCTTGTCTGGGGTTCCATGGCGGGGTGGGGGAGGAGGAATGAGCTTTGGGTGTGGCCCCTGTCCCTACCTTCTTCTAGAACGGCCTGTGACCATGTAGGGGTACGGGTGTGGAGAGGCAGGTCAGGGACACTGGAGTCCACATGCCAACTTCAGCCCTATGCCCCGTGGCATGTGCCCGGGGCGGGGGGTAAGAGTCCCTATGGAGAATGGATGGTAGGGGCACAGAGTTCCTAGGATCTGCACCCTTCCACAGTGGGTACACAGCTAGGTTTCACAGAAGAGACTGAAGTTCTGGTCATTTAGTGCTTGTACCGGGTCATCTGGCGGTCAGCATGGAGCAGAGCCTGGAGCCTCGGCTAGACTGGGGTTGAGGCTGGGAACCAGGAAGTCAAGTCCAAACCTCCCATGTAGATGGCAGGAAGCCAATCGTTTGAGCCCTCACAGCTGCCTCTTAGGGTCTGCACTGGCACTGAAGGGAGCAGGCACTGACCTAGGCACTCCAGTGTGGGATGCAGACACCACAGCTGTTGGACAGCACACCTAGCCACATACTGGGCAGCCTGAGTGCCGTGTGGCCTGGAGGCAGAGATGTATTAAAGATGGGGAACCCAAGGCTTGTTTGAAAAGTGGTTTGTCCAGGAGTATGAAGGAGGACAGCGCCAAGCCAGGATTGCTTTGCTGTCACCTGCTCCTGTATTCATTCAACCACATGTGTGTGAGAGCCTACTGTGTGCAGGCATGCAGTCAGGCCAAGGGGGAGGTGGAGCTGTAGAGGATATTTCTTGGGGTGGCAACAAGGAGTGGCCAGACAGGGAGGTACAGAGGACAGAGGTGGGGACAGTCCCCGGGCGGGATCCGGGAAGGTACCCAGGTTGTTCAAGCCGAGGCAAGTGGGTGGCATCCAGGTTGAAGGTACAGGTGCTGGACAGAACAGCTGCAGAGCCTGGGGCGTTCAGTGGGGGCTGTTACCACAGCCTGGGCAGCAAAGCTACCACAGTAGTGGGGCAGTAAGGCAGAGGGGTGGGGGTGGATCCCCTGACAGGGGCGGGGTGCGCAGAGCAGGAAAGCAGCAGGGAGAATGGGATGCCCTCAGCGCTGCCCTCCGGCCTTGCAGGACCCACCAGCAATGCCCTGCAGAAGGTGGATGTCCAGCTGATCCCTCAGGACCTGTGCAGTGAGGCTTATCGCTACCAGGTGACCCCGCGCATGCTGTGTGCCGGTTACGCCAAGGGCAAGAAGGATGCCTGCCAGGTGACTCCCGCAGGCAGGGTACAGGTGTACATCCCCGGATGGTTCCACCAGGGCTGGGACTGCCAGGGAAGAAGCCAGGCACGGCTGGTTCGGCAGAGATTCAGAACGGGTGTGACTCCCACGATTTCCCAGTTGTCAGGAGCTGATCTCAACTCTCTCCTCTTCCCCACTTAGGGTGACTCGGGTGGCCCACTGGTGTGCAAGCAGTCCAGTGGCCGTTGGTTCCTGGCGGGGCTGGTCAGCTGGGGCCTGGGCTGTGGCCGACCCAACTACTTTGGCGTCTACACTCGCATCACGGGTGTGATCGGCTGGATTCAGCAGGTGCTGACCTGAGGTGCTGCCCCCTGCACATCTGGAGCCAACCTCCTGGACTTAGCCCAGGGACCGCCAAGCTGGGGAAACCTGTGTTCTGAGGATGAGTGGCCCTTGCGAGGCCCGAAGTAGCATCCTACCTCCGCCCCACCCACTCCAGCAGGGTGCTAACAGCTGGTGGTAAAGACATTTCCCCCGGCCCAGGCCCAGCACCCCCAGGCCTGGCTGGGGGGTTCCTCTCCAGGCTCTCTGCTTCATATTCCCCACCTCTCCCTCCTCGAGGCCTGTGGGTGGGGTGTAGTTCAGCAGCCATGGTGCTTGCCTGCAGGTGCCTCCACCTCTAAAAACCAGCCTGGGAAGCCCTCAGGTCCACTGGTTTGGTGGGCCTGCCCAGTGGGTCCACAGTTTAGGTAAGCCAAAGGGTGAGAAGCCCCATGGCAGAGTCCTTGCCCAGGGTGGCCAGGCACAGCCAGAAGCTCCCTGGAGGTGAACTTGGCTGCTCTGGAATAAAGATTCACAATGGAAGCTTTGACTTGGGGTCTGAATGGTGGTGGCTGAGGTGGGGGGCAGGGGAGTGGCTCTCAGAAGCCAACCCTGCTTTCCTGCTCAGCCTGTGGCCCAATGTCCCCAGGTCAGGGCAGGGATGATGGAGGCAGGTGCCCAAGTTCTGGAGAACTGAAAGCAATGTTTTGAGGACCCTTAGGTCAGCAGGAGGGAAGGGATGAATGGCAAGTAGCTGGCTTTTGGAACCCTGGGGGAGACAGGTTCCAGGCAGGACCAGGGCATCCTGGTGAGAGCTGAGGGTAGTGGGGCCAGCCTGAACCCTGAGCTTCTGTTCTCCCACCTCCCCACGTCGTCATTTATTGAAGAAGCGGCTCCTGGGCAGCTTCCTGAGGCCAGGGCAGCTAGGGCCACAGAAGGGTGGTGGGGATGAGGGATGCTCCAGCCTACCAGCTGCCTGCAAACAGGAGTTCCAACATGCCTACGTTGGGAAAGGGCATTCCAGACAAGGGGACAGTATGTGGGAAGGCCTAGTTTCCCAAGAATATGCACATCAAACAGCAAGCTGTGCAACAGAGGCAGAGGGTGGGAAGTGGGGCAGAAGAGAAATTCAGCAGCGAGCAGGCTGTGTGAGAGCTTGGAGGGCACCTGGGAGCTGTGGGAGCCATGGACAGCTCCATGCCAGGGCTCTGAGCTACAGCGCCCCCTGGTGCCCCTGCACAGGCAGCTGCAGGAGAGCATGTCAGTGCAGAAGTCCAGGAAGGAGAAGATGGAAGGGGCTGAGAGGCAGGTACAGGCTGGAGGGCAAAGGGTCGCAGAGGGCAGGGGCAGAGCTGTGAGGCCAGCCTGTGTGAGTGGGGTCAACTGTGGACAGCAGGGAGCCCCTCCACTCTGTGTGGATTCCCAGCAAGGAGGGGGCTCCCAAGAAGGGATCAGTCCCTTCCAGTGGAGCAAAGATGACAAGGCACTGGTTGGAGATGGAGCTGCAGAACAGACAGGGAGGGATGGGGTGGGAAGGCAGGTAACTGCAGTGGTGTGGGGGCAGGCAGAGGGCAGGCTTGGCCCAGGGAATGAAGTGGTAGGTGCGGACTCTCTGCCTCGATGGGCCTGCTGCTCACTGCTGGCCAAGCTGGATCCAACGGTGAGGACCCGTTGTTCTCAGGTAACAGGGAGATGCCCTAGACTACTGAGGCAGATGGCCAGCTGAGGGCTGTGGATTTGAGAGGTGAAGGCACCTGCCAGGCTTGAGTACAGCCAAACCACAGAAGGTAGAGGGATGCCTGGGCACTGGCATTCCCCAGGGCTTGGCGGGGAGGGAAGGTGTGGCAGCCAAGGGGAAGGGTAAGGACACCCTAGGCTCTCCTGGAAACTGCATTTCCTGGGCTCCTGGCCAGAACCAGCTGGGCAGCATGGGTGATCTCGGCCCCTCTTTCCAACACTCTCAGGAAGGGCAGGCAGGGCAGCATCCCCGGCTCCAGGCAGAGCTCCATCCCTTGTCCACCCTACCTGGAGTCTAACTGTCCCCAAAGGCAACTCAGAGAAGATGGGGTGGCCAGGCTGGGCTGTTTCATCAGGCTTTATTACGTGGTGAGTGGACACAGCCGAGAAGTAAGTCCCCACCCCGGGGAGTCACAAGTGCAGGTGTCCCGCGCTCAGTCCCAGCCACTCCCAGACCCTGCCCTTGTCCTAGCTGCTGAGCGTCCTCCTGCCAAACCACTTCTGCTGCCCTTGTCCCCATCCCCAGGCCATCGCCAGCTCTGCGGGCAATGCAAATGGGGGGCTCATGGGCAACCGAGGGAAGGCCAAGTCAGCAACCCCCCAGCACCGGCCTCCTCTCCCCTCACACAGTGTTGCACTGGGGGGCTGGGACCTCTCCCAGGGCAGGTGTGAGAAGGGTGTCTCCTGAACCTGCATAGCCACCTATGAGGTGGTTGGGGTTGGGGGACTCAAGTTCAAGGAGTTGCTGTGACCGGGCCTCGAGGGAGTGTATCTGCCATGCAGCAGGGGGAGGTGACAGAGGGGCCTGGAGGATGCTGCTGGACAGTGCCACACAGGCAGGCAGCCCTGCCCAGGCAGCCCTGGGCCCACCTGGAGCCTCCTGAAGTTCCTGTGGGCCCCCAGCTCATCCCTGGAGGCAGGGGCAGGTCCCAGCCCCGCAGGTGCAGACAGAGGCAGCGGCGGGGGCAGCATTTCTTCTGTCTCAGGCTGGGGGCCCACCCCGTGATACAAAAATAAAAGATTTCAGATTGGAACCCCAAGTCCCTGCAGGCGCTCTGGGGCCTCACATCCACGAGCCTCTGGCTGGTAACAGCTACAAAATAAGAGGGGGAGAAGGGAAGCAGGGCCAGAACACCGGGAGGTGGGGTGGTGAGGGGGTGATGTGAGGGCCGGAGGGACAGAGAGATTGAGATGGAGGGAGGCAGGGGTGGAGGGAGAGAGGGAGAGAGAGAGAGGCAAGTGAGTCACCGATGTGCGCTTCCAGAGGCAGTGTGGGGCTGAGGCCCAGAGAAGGCAGGGAAGCAGGGAAGGACACCCCAGCTGAGCTTCCCGGGCGGCCCTGCGCCCTGTCTCGGCTGAGAGGCGGCTGTCTAGGCTGGCCAGATTCTGCCACAGCTTGGTCCAGGGGGGTCAGTGCCAGGAGAGGCAGGTCACCGTGGCCCCTGGCAAAGGAGCCTCAGACAAATGCTGTCTGCTCCTGCTTTAGGCTCAGTTGCAGCCCAGAGTCGGGAGGTGACTTGCCAGAGGTCACACAGCAGGAAGACAGGATGGGGAGGGAGTGGCAGGAGGGCACCTAGCCAGGACTTTTCTGCTGCCCCCCCTCCCATCCTCAGCCAGTCCCAGCTGACTGCTCATAGCATCAGGAGTCTCCAGCAGCCCTACAGAAATGCGGGACCAGGGAACACAAGGCCATAACCTAGGAGCTCCTGGCTGAGCAGGATGAGACCAAGGCATCTGGTGTCAAGTCCCTCCCTTCCTCCCCAGCCTGGCTCTGGGTAGGTGGGAAAGAGCTCCTGGCCCCTTCAACTCTCTCTTCGTGGGGCCTCCCTCCCACAGCCCAGGTACACTGAGGAACTTTGGAGGGAGCAGAAAACGGGCCCCAAGGTCCGCTCTGGTACAGCCAGCCAAGGGACCAGCACCCTCCTTGCTTCCCCCTCCCTCCAGCGCCGCCAAGCTACAAACCAGGGACGGCAGCTCGGGGGGCGGGCGAGGGGCCAGGGAGAAGCCCTCAGGGCCAGCTCAGCCTCAGGTCTGGGAGGGCGCACACGGGAACCTGCAATGAGGAAATGTGAGAGGCAGCCAGGAGCCAGGAGCTGAGGAGCCAGGAGGTAGGGTGGGAGCGTGGCCCAGGCCCAGGCCTGGCCTTACGGGAGCCCAGTGGCGGAGGTAGGCTTGGCAGCCACAGGGCAAGTGCAGCGGTGCCCCTGGTCCCCAGGCCAGGAGGCGGGAGGTGCCAGGAGAGGCATAGGAGGCAGCAGGCAGGATGCTGTGGGAGGTGGGGCGGGGGAGGCTGGGAGCGGGGCAGGCCTGGGATGGAGGTGTGAGCAGGCGGAGAGGAAGCCCGGACATGGGCAGACAGGGAAGAGGCAGGGTGCAGATGAGATCCAGGAGGAGGAGGAGGTGGATGAAGATGAGGCAGGACCTCCAGTGGCAAGCGGAGGAGGCGGTGGTGGGAGGGAGAGAAGGTTAGCGGGATCCTGAGATGCCTGCGCTGCGGAGAGAAAGTGAGAGAGAAGGGTGGTTATGCGGGAGGGAGGTGCCAGGCCCTGCTGGGTCCGCCCCCCGGCACGGCCCAAGGCTGCAGCTGCTCGCTGGGCAGGGGTGGGTGGGAGGCTCAGCTTAGCAGTCATTCTCCTGGGGGTGGGCTGCACCTGTCTCCTGTGTATCTGCCTCCACCTGCACCCGTTCCACCTGCACCTGCACCTCCTCCTCCTCCTCCTGCTGCTGTTGCTGCTCCAGTGGCTCCTCTGCGTTCTGTGGACCAGCCGGCAGACCCAGGGAAGAAAGAGGGCAAATGCTAACGAGGGGGACCAGGGCCTGCTGGCAGCTGTGGCCCTAGCCCCCCAGGAGTGGTGGGGGGCTGCACCCTGTCAGGGAGGACTGTGCTGGGGATGCTTGTGGGTCAGATCAGCTGCAGGGCAGGGGTCAAGAGGAACAAGTGGGTGCATGGCAAGGGGCACCTGGAAAAGCCTTGCTCTGGTGGGTGGCAGGGAGGGACAGATCCAGAGCAGAATGAGGCCAAAGCAGGCCGGAGGGCAGACACCACCCAGATCAGCCAGATCACCCGGATATGTGGTACCAGCTGCAGCGTCTGGCACCCTGGACCCAGTGGCAACAGGTTGACACCACAAGGTCCAGCCAGTTGCTGACAGCAGCTGGTGGTGGGCAGGGGAGATACAGCAGGACAGGGAGGCAGACAGACAGACAGAAGCCACAATCCTCAAGTCACCCCTGCACAGGGACAGCCCTGGGGAGGCGCCTGCTCCGGGGGTCCAGGGTGACAAAACCCCCACTTGGCCACTACCTGCAGCAGTCCAGTACTGATGGGACCCTGCCACCCAGCTGGCGCAGCCAGGGGAAGAGCAAAGGTGCCATCATCCCCTGCCGCCACCCCCCAAGGTATCGTCCTGTTCTCAGGCCCTGCCAGCTCTGAGCCCGAACAGGCCCTGCAAGGACTGAGTTGTCTGCCCTCACTTCACAGGGACACAGCAGCGACAAGACTTGCCTGGGGTCACACAGACAGCATCACATTGTGCACTGGCCCTGGGGTGCCCCTGGACAGCCCTCATACTCCTGTACCCTGGGGTGCTCTCGACCCACTGCCCCCAGTATGGGCCTGGGCAGACAGGACTGTGATGGCATGGGATGGATGGTGTTGGCTGTGACCATGAGACTCTGTGAGGGCGGCAGGAGGACAGAAGAGCAGTGGCGATGGCGATGGGGAGGTGGGAGGGGAAAGAAAAGGGGGCCGGGCGGGGTCGGGGCTCACCATGGTTTTGCGGCTGGACTCGGAGCTGAGCCCGTGCGGGGAGCTGTGCAGTTCCTTGGACACCACGCACAAGAACTCGGCCTGGTCTTCACTGCCGTAGTTGTAGGAGGAGCCGATGTTCACCAGCTGGTGGGCCGGCACCAGAAGAGAGGGAGGCAGGTGGGTTGGAGGCAGGCAAGGTGGTGGGCGTGGGTACCAGCCACGGGCCTTTCTGGGGCCTGCTCGGGCCATCCTGGGCTTGCCAAGGGCTCTCTTGCCAGGAAGCCAGGACCTCCCGCCCCTTGTCAGCTATACCTCTGGGCTCAGAACTGGCACTGTGCCCTTGCCATCGTGGCAGCCTGTGCTGGGCAGGTCATTTCCTGTTCCAGCTGTGGTTGTATGCCGCAGGACCAGGCTACAGGGTAAGGCTGGCAGAGGGGTGCCTCATAGGAGGTTCCCCACTCGGTGAGAGGCAGAGCAGGACCGGAGCCTCCTAGCACCTATGTGCCACCGTGTGTCACTGTCACAGCCCCAGGGTGGAAGTCGGGGGCACTGTGCTACAGTCCTGCAGTCATGACCCCCAAGGGCCTCCTGGCCAGGACGAGTCCCACATGACCACAGGATCTGCAGGAAGATACCTAAAAGGAAGAGCTCACCCTGTGCACAGCAGAGGCCCGGCGAGGCTGTGGCCCGCTGGGGGTCCCCCAGCCGGGAAGAGGTGAGACAGGGGTTAGAATCTGGAATGCTGAGGCCTGTGTTGGGGTGCATGCAGCATGCTAAGCTGCAGCCTGTGATTCCAACATCCTAAATGAACACCGATTTGAGTCTCAGCTGCTCTGATCTAGCTCCCTGCTAACATGCCTGGGAAAGCAGCAGGGAGACCCGGATGGAGTTCTGAGCTCCCTGGCCCAGCCCTGGCTCTCGAGGCTGTCCAGGGAGGGCAGACACAAGATGTACCTCTGCTTTTGAAAGACCTTTAAAAAAACATTTTAAAGATTCCAGGGCCCCAAGCCCTCTGCAGGGTCCTGGCAGACCCAAACTTGTAGTACTCTGCTCTGCATGGCCCGGTTCTTGAATGGGTAGGGAAGGCAGGGCCTCCTGAAGGGCCGCATCTGCCCCTGGACCTGAGAGAGGGGCGTGTCAGCTGGAAAATGTCATGACACTTGTGCTGCTCGTGCCCAATGCCTCCCCTGACAGGTCCCCCCTCTGGCCTGGGAAGGGTGACAAGTGGCCACACACATTCCAGAAGCTCTACAAAGGACCAGTGCAAGGTGGGCTCCATTCTCCTGGATGGCGCTCAGCCCTGTACCCCCGAGCTGTCCCTCGGAGCTCAAACACTCCCTCAAAGGGGCTGGGGAGACTCTCACTGAGGATGCCAGGCTGGGCACAGCGTCTTGGCCTTGCCCCTTTCCAATCAGTCTGAGTGTGGGCAGCAGTGGGGCACCCAGGGCCCACACTGTGGAGATGGAGGGGACCTGCTGCCATGCCCAGCTGCCCACCTGCTCAAAGCGCCAGCCGTCAGACATAGTGGACACCATCTGTGTGAGCTCTTCCTCCTGGCACTGCAGCACGCGGTACACGTGCTTGGGTGGCACCTGGGGGCAGAAGGGACACAGAGGGCATGTATGAGAGCACCAGGCACCCCCAGAGGACAATGAGCACCAGGTACTGTTCATCCCCCACAATACACCCACAGGAGGAGAGGAAGAGGAAAAGTAAGGGAAGGGGCCTCGCTCTGAGTGAGCTCCTGCCGCCTGTCGCTACCCAGCATGCAGGTGTCATTTGGCATTGAGGTGCAGGTGCTCGGTCAAGGTCACCCTGCTCAAGATGGGCACAGCTAGAACTGGATCAGATAGCAAACCCAGAAGGGGAGCAGAGCAGGGCCTAAGGGCATTCAGGGTCACCCCCGGAGGCAGGCCCTCAGGAAATGGGGGTCGAGATGTGATGCCTCACAGCTTGTCCCCTCCCCCTCCCCCTCCCCTGCAGATCGGGCCAAACTCAGACTCAGCAGTTCATGCCATGCCCACCATGGAATGCCAGTCTCATGAGGTAATTTTCTGGCCCTGCCCTGCAGCTGTTGGGATCCTGCACCTTCTGGACTGGGGAAGGGATGGGAGGGCAACCTTAACTCCTCCAAAATCAAGGCCCAGAGAGGGACAGGACAGGCCCGGAAGCACACAGCAAGTGGAGGTGAAGCTGGGCGGAGTCCCCATATCTGTCCCCGTCTGCAGCCTCCGCACTTCACAGGTCAGGGTGAGGCACTCCCAGGAAGACACAGGTCCTGCCTCTGCCCCCACCACCTGCCCGACCATCTGCCCTGACCTGGGTCACTGTGTAGTCTTTCTCCTCCATGCGGTCTTTGATGATGCGGATGAGTGGGCCGATGTTGTAGAATTCTGCTTCCTCCAGGACCCCTGGCATAGACAAGGCAGGCCCTGTCACTCCCGTGCCACCCATGCCCCAGGTAGGTTGGGGTCAGCCAGGAGGGAGTGCCACTCACCCAGCTCTGTCCCCACTGCACTGAGCACAGGAGTCAGGGACAGCCCGTGACCTGATGCAGCACCCAGGGGCCTGGGAGACACAGCAGGCTTGTGGGACTGACCCCGGGACAGTCCCCACGCAGGCCCTGGCCAATCCCCTTGGGGGTGTGGTCCATCCGTGCAGCACATGCTAAGGGCCACACGCTGTGCTAGTGGTACGTGGCACTCTTTGTGATAGTCAATGCTCAGAACTGGATGTAGGTCCCCTCATTGCTTCCCTGGGTAAACTGAGGCTCAGCAACAGAAGTGAGTGGTTGGTCTGCATCAAGCTCTGTGACTCTGAGAGCCCAGCTTCCCCACTTCACTTCAGTTTGTGTGTGTGTAGGTGCGTGCATCCCCTGGGCACCACACTTAACAGTCTGCAAAGTCCTCTGCGCCCACCCTAGGTCCTGGGAATGAGGAAAGCAGGTGTTACTATCCCTGTTAATCTGAGCGACTAAGCAAGAAGCCTACCACGAAGTGGAATGTGTTGCAAGGTTTACTGTCCCATGAGCTCCAGGACAGTAGGGGACCCTCACTAAGCCATCTCTGGGCTCCACTCGCAGTGAAGGCTGGGTGCCGCCCAGATGCCTAGGGAAAACCAACCCCCCAGCGTGACTGAGTCACAAGCAGGCAGGGCCTTTACAGCGCCATGATGCTGGGACTAGGGCCCCTGCAAGGCGGGTGCTGCAGAGTGCCTGCTGCCTCTCCCTGGCCCTGCCACAGCCCAGCCACACGGGCAGCTTGCCCTGGGATCCCTGTTGCCAGCAAGCCCCGTCCCTTGGCAGTGGTGCTCTCTAGAACAGCTGGACCTAACACTGAGCCGTTTCCAGTCTTCCGTTGCAGCAGGCGGTCTGGTGATGGACTTCTCCTGGGCGCCCCACAGGCACCTAACGCGGCCCCGCCCATCCGAGGCTAGCACCCAAACTCCCCAGCCCGGGCTGAAGGTGCCGCTGGGAGACCTGGAACCCATAAACAGGTGTTGGCCAGGACGAGCTGTAGGGTTTGCTGCTCCGCCCCGGGGAGCTGCTCTGGGACCCAGGCTCTTGCACTCCCTGGGGAGAGGTGCTCAGGTCAGCGGGGAGGTCCTAGTGCAAGATCAGGGCCTCTAGAGCAGGGCACCCCACGGAGGAGGGGGCATTAGTCACCCCCCAGGTTCAGGGGAGACACCTGGGGTCCCACACCTCTTTATAATACCTGTGGTCATGCAGAGAGAAGGGACCAGGTACGTGGTCCAGAACCACTGTCCCGTACCCCAAGGAGGGGTTGTCTTGGCTGGCACCCTGCTAAGTGTCCACTTTAGAGGCATGGCTTCCCCCACTGTCTGCTCAGCCGGGAGGTGGGCATGCATGGGGCCTGAGCCATTAGGGGAGGGCTCTGCCTGGTCTTCCTCCCAGCCTCTGCATGGAGCTGCCCATGCCTGGCACCCCTGCCCACCACAGAAGCCTCAGGCCCTCACTGGCTTCTTCCACTGGTCTGTGAGAGTCTGTGTTATCTCCCTAGCAGCCGCAAAGAAAGCACAGGCCTGTGCGCTCAGCAGAGGCCTTGGGAATCCGCCCAGGCCCCGGGGGAAGAGGCCAAAAGCCCAGGAGCTGAGCGGTGCTGTGGTGTAGCGGAAGCTGTTGCCTGGGATGCTGACGCTGCCTGAGTCCCATTGCTTCACTTCCCACCCAGCTCCCTGCTCACGCAACTGGGAAAGCAGTAGAGGATGGCTCAAAGCCTTGGGACCCTGCACCCACATGGGAGACCTAGAACAACCTTCAGGCTCCCAATTTGGACTAGCCACACTCTGGTCATTGTGGCCATTCGGGAAGTAAACCAGCAAAAGGGAGACTCACCCTCCTCGGCCATGTCCTTGTCCAACACCAGCTTCCCATGACGGAGGAAGTTGAGGATGGGCCCGAAGTAGGTGGGGTCGCGGTCAATGAGGTAGGCCCCGGTCTCATCCTGTGGAGGACAGGAGCCCAGGCCATGAGGGAAGAGGCGTGGGGCTGCCCACTACCCTGCATGCCCACCCTCACTACAGTCCAGGGAGTGGGGTGAGGGCCACAGGGCAGCAAGGAGTAGCAGGAAGTCAGCCAAAAGGACCTGGGAGTCGGGCGGTCCTGGGTTCAAATTCTGTCTCTGCATTTTTCCTGCTGTGTGACCTTGGACCAATGCTCGGCCTCTCTGAGCCTCATGCCCAGCCCCCACATTTTAGGGCCCTGAGAGAGGAGGCCTGAGCAGCACTCCGTTCATTGAGTCCCCCCCCACACCACCTCTTAAAGGTTGTCCCCTTAAGGCCAGCTTGGGGACCCCCTCTCCTCTTCCAGGGGATGCCACCAGGAGACGCCATCTCTTTGGGGACCAGTTGCCTACAGGGACACAGGGCATGCAGCGGGACAACTCCACATGGAGGGATGGGAGGGGACAGCCCCAAGGTCACAGGAGGGATCATCTTCGGGGCACCCCCACAAGAGGTGGCAGAGGCCAGAGCAGGGCACAGACCCACACCCAAGGTCATGACAGCAGGGGACAGGAGTCCGGACACGGTGCCTGCTGGGCAGGCAGCATTCCCTCGACCGCCTACACCCCAGACAAAGGCAGCCCCACCGGCCGGTTCTGCAGGGAAAGCCAGGGAAGCCTCACGGCCCCACGGGAAGGGGACAGCCCCCCATCCCGATCGCGGGCAGCGCTCAGGAGCTCCCAGGCCTCAAATGGCCGCGCGGCGTCGGCCCGTTACCACGGCAATGGGCGCATCCCTCCCTCCTCTCTCCGCCGCTTCACTTCCTCCTCCCCTCCTCTGTCTCGTCTTCCCGCCTCCGGCTCCTCGGGAAGGGCGCGCAGCCAGGCTCTCCGGGGGAAGCGGCGGGCGGTGGGGCGGGTGGGCCGAGATGGGACCCCGCACCCGCCGCCCCCCGAGCCCGCCGGCGCGCCCCGCGGGCCTCACCCGGTCCGACTGCAGCTCATCGCCCTGGCACAGGCGGCTGAGGAAGGACTTCTGCTCGCGGCACAGCGTCTGCCGGGTGGTCAGGAACACCGTGCCCCCCACATTGAGCCGCACCCACTTGCCCCAGCCGCCCGTCCCCGCCGGCGGCGCTGCCTCGCCGGCCTCCATCCTCAACGCTCGCCGCGGAGTCCACAGCCCAGGCTCGTGTTCCTGCGCGTGCGCGCGCGGGGAGGCAAGGGGGGCGTGCAGGTGCGGCGCGTGGGGCATCCCGGGAACTGTAGTCCTGAGTGGGAGGGATGGACGGTGGGGAGGTTCTGGCGTCCGCCGTCCACCTCGCGCTGCGGAGTTGGCCCACACACTGGGGTGTTAGGTTCCCGGGTCCTAGGAGCACAGAGGTACCCCCAAGTCAGCAGCCACCCCCTCTTTGTTCTTCACGCGTGTTCACTTCCTTCCCGAAGTTCCCAATGCACGCCCCCTCGGTTTTCTGCAGCTTTTTCTTTCCGCCCTTGTGTGCGGGTGGGGTGGGGGTGGGAGGCAATGGGCTGGACCTTCCCCTTACCGGAAGAGAATCTCCTGAAAAGGGGGTGCCCTGAAGGGTTCTTGGAGGCTGGTGAGGGGCTGGGGTGGGAGTGGGGGCAAAGATCCCCACCCTCCCGCGGTGGGTCAGGAGCTACTGAAGAACCTAGGCGTTTTCTGCCTTTTGTGATTCTGCCTTAATGGCTTGGCTGGGGGCTGTGTGAACCTCAGGCCTCCACCTTCTTGCCTTAGCACCGACTTCAGACTTGATGATTATCTGGGGATTTCAAAAACCGGCACAACACTACAAGGCAAGAGTCAAGGCGTTCAGGCCAGAAGTGGGGGTGCAGAAGGTGAGCGTCAGTGGGTGGTGCTGAAGGAAGCCACCCTGTGCCTTTGGAAGTGACAGATCCAACCGAGGCATGGGGCCGCCTGCATGCCTGCCAGGCAGCCAGAGGCACGGGGCAGGTGTCAACCAAAGCCAAGGCAAGAAACAGGCACCCTCTTGTCCCGGGGTAGCTGCCTCTCCCCAGGGAGGGGTCATCCGGGCACTTGTAGGATGCTCACGTGGCACTGCGTGTACAGGCAGGCAGTGTGTGGTGGGGGAAGGGGAAGCCAACGTTCATATTGGGGGCATCCCAGAACCCCATCTGATTTCCATCACCCCCACCTCCTGGGCCAGTGAGGATCTTATGGACAGACACAGTGTGTGTTTCCCAGCCCAGCGTCTAGTGCTGGGCAGGGTTTGAAGGGAGACAAGGGACAGGGGTGACAGTGCTGGGATCGTGGTAAAGGCAGGGATGGGGTCTGCTGGGGAATGGGGGGCCTCCCCTCACACTGCTTCCTTCATGCAGCCCCCAGCACCTCAACAAAGACAAGCTTACCACGGGCTGGGCTCCCAGGCCTTCTGTAACAGCGGCTGCTTGGGCGTTGGTCCTGGGTCAGCGGAGCCTGAGGCTCTGAGATGCCTCCCGAAAACATCCCAAAGAATCCTCCAAGCAGGAGGGCTGAGCCTGGTGCCTCCAGGGGTCTGACCCCTGTAAGTGTCAGTTGCTGCCTGGGGTGCAGAGAGAGGCTTTGGCAGGGTTGGGCTCACTCCTCTCAGCCTCAGTGCCCTGCCCCACTCAAACGTAACCTTCCCTCTCCCAGCCAGCCCCCACCCCACCCCCAGCAGCACCCCCTCCCAACTTTCCCTCTCCCAGCCAGCCCCCCACCCCACCCCCAGCAGCACCCCCTCCCAACCTTCCCTCTCCCAGCCAGCCCCCACCCCACCCCAGCAGCACCCTTCACTGAGGAGGGCTGTGGCCAAGAAGCAGGTGGCCAGACCTGGGGCCCTGCACAGAGCCAACAGGTGCTGCCACCTGCTTATGTCTGGGCTTGTCCTGGTGGAGGCCTGCTCAAGGGAGTGGAAGGCCTCCGGCCTGGGAGGGGCTGCTCCCACCTCTGGGGAAGGACCCTGGCCCACCACCCCAACCCCTGCATACAAGGGGATGCTCCAGAGGGGCCCTGCCCTCCAGGGGATTTTGGTATGGGGAGGTGATCTTGAAAGGGATCCTCCCCACCTCCCAAGAAAACTCCCTGCCTGCCACTTTACCATCTATAGGATGTCTTTACCCCAAAACCCAAACTCTCCTTTGATACCGTCCCGGCAGGTGATGGTTAAGCTGCAGATAGGCCAAACATTACACACCTGCCATCACCCCCACCCCGCCACACCCCATCCCCTGTTGGGAAGTGCCCTGCCTTCTGCTGGACCCCGAGATGGGACTGAGAAGTGCTTCAGGATCTCCAACACCAGGACGCAGCCCCAGCTTTGACTGGGTGAACCAGTTCAATCCCTTAACCTCTCGGAACCTCAGTTTCCCCATTTCTAAATCTGGAGGAATAATGGCACATCATTTTGCACGTGTTGTGAGGGTGTAACAAGCTGGCTGGTCACCCAGAACATCATTGGAGACCAGGGAGTGTTGGCTCCAGCTGTCAGGCCCTGACCCAAAGGCTGCTGCCTTGGAGTTTATTCTCCACAAGACAGGCACGGACCCCAGGATCCCCCAAAGTTTCAGGCTTCAGGGCTGAGTGGCTGCCATTGCCTCCCATTGAGCTCCCATGGCCTCAGGTGATCTGAGAGTCCCTCTCCCCCACACCCGCTCCCAAAGCTGCAGCAGCACGGAATGCATCCCTCAGCTGTCACCCGGACACGCCCCCGAGCCCTGATCTGAACCTGCTTGTTGTCTTAGCAGCGCCCCACATCAGAGAGGCGTGGCCCATGGCTGCCTGCAGCTCTGTGATTAGAATGTCATTCCGCCCTGCTGGTTTTATTTATTTATTTATTTATTTTTTAGATTCAGCACTCCTTTTCTGCAGGTTCAGAAGGACAGAATGTTCTATTTAGCCTCAGCTCCTTCTTTGGATCTTTATATCAAAATCAAACCTGGTGCCTACCTAGGGGTCAGTTTGGCTGCCCCTCTCTGCTGGTCTGGGGCCCTGAACCTTTCCAGGTCACCCCAGGAGACCCAGACATGGAGCCAAGCCAAGGGAGTGCATGCAGCCAGGCAGAGCAGGCTCTGCAGGGCCAGAGGTCCAGGGGCTGCCCTTCTGCCCATGGCACCCTGGTTCACTGCACCTGCTGAGCTAGGTACACAGCCTCTGCAAACTCCACTGGACTCTGTGTGCAATTTTCTCAAGACATTTATTTTTATTGCGAAGGCATATTTACAGAAAGGAGAGACAAAGATCTTCCATCCACTGTTACACTCCCCAGATGGCTGCACCGGCCAGATCTGAGCTGATCCAAAGCCATGAACTAGAAGCCAGGAGCTCCCTCTGCATGTCCCACACAGATGCAGAGTCCCATCCTCCATTGCTTTCCCGGACCACAAGCCGGGAGCTGGATGAGAAATGGAGCAGCTTGGACATGAGCCAGTGCCCAAATGAGATGCTGGTACTTGCAGGCAGAGAATTAGCCAACTGAGCCATCACCCAGCCCCAAGATTTTTTATTAGAAAGAGTTGCAGAGAGAAAGAGAGAGAGCAAGACTCTTCTTCCAATGCGGTGATTGGAGGCCTGGACCAGACTGTAGCCTTTGTCTGGTCTCCCAGGTGAGTGCAGGACCCAAACACATGGACTGTCCTCCACTGCTTTCCCAGGCCATCATCAGGGAGCTGAATTGGAAGTGGAGCAGCTGGGATTTGAACCAACAAATGTTGGCATGCTAGTGCTCATACAATTCGTGGGTAGCAGCATTGTTGGGCTGCTAGGTGCTGGCGGAGACTTGAATATCTAGAACATAACCAGTTTGTCACCCTGGTTTAGTCTCGTGCTTCTTTCTCATTACCAGATGTTCATCTAGCCTGTCTCAAGTGTGGGACTTCAGAATTACAGAAACAGGGCCTGGCGCAGTAGCCTATTGGCTAAAGTCCTTGCCTTGAACATGCCAGGATCCCATATGGATGCCGGTTCTAATCCTGGCAGCTCCACTTCCCATCCAGCTCCCTACTTGTGGCCTGGGAAAGCAGTTGTCCAGGACGGCCCAAAGCCTTGGTATCCTGCATTCACATGGGATATCTGGAAGAAGTCCCTGGCTCCTGGCTTCGGATTGGCACAGCTCCAGCCACTGTGGCCACCTGGAGTGAATCATGAGAGGGAAGACCTTCCTCTCTGTCTCTCCTCCTCTCTGTATATATGACTTTGCAATAAAAATGAAATAAATCTAAAAAAAGAAAAAAAAGAATATCAGAAACGAAGGCTAAGTAGAAACCCTTACCTTGGGCCCAAGGAGGGGGACATTGTGCTCATAGCCGCAGCGCAGTCAGGCCTCGGGAGAAAGGGGTGCTTTTCATTTGGGGATGGGGCAGGGTTTTGCTGCACCACCTGTGTCCCGGCGCTGATCTCTTCAACCAGCAGGGGGCGCTCAGTGCCCTTGCCTGTCCACTTGCGTCTGAGCTTGGGTTTCTCTTCTGGAGAACTCAGCTCCTGCGGGATTGACTGAGCGTTCTTACCAGCCTTGCCTGCTGCATCAGACAGACTGGGAATGGAGGACCCCCTCTGTTGGGTTCCAGTGCATGCCTTACCCTCACAGCCCTCCTGTCCTGGATTCCCTCTGGTCAGCTCCACACATGGCTGCTCGGGAGGCCCTGGGATACCCTGCTCACTAAAGTTTATTTTTATTTGAAAGACAGTTACTGAGAGAGGAGGAGAGACAGAGAAAGAGAGATCCAACTGCTGGTTCACTTCCCAAATGGGTGCAGTGGCTGCAGCTGGGCTGATCTGAAGCCAGGAGCCAGGAGCTTCTTCCAGGTCTCCCATGTGGGTGAAGGGACTCACGCACTTGCTCTATCTTCTGCTGCTTTCTCAGGGAGCTGGACCGGAAGTGGAGCAGCCAGGACTTGAACCGGGGTCTATATGGGATGCTGGTGCTGCAGGCAGAGGCGTAGAACCCTGGCCCTGTTCATGCTTTTCTCTCGCCAACAGGAGCTGGGCACCTTGCAGATGCTTCAGGGTCATTTGCACAGTCTTGGTGTGCATTGGCAAGTATGACGTGTCCGTGAGGAAGAGAAGCCAGCTTTCCATCAGACTTTGGGTGTCTTATTTCCTGCATTTATGGAAAGCTCTTCTTCCTTGAGAAAGATTATTCCAGTACCTAGGGTGGGTTTACAAACATTTTCTCCCCGATCCTGTCTTCTGTCAGTTGGGAGTGTAGGGGAGTGTGATGGCCATGCAGGAGAGGTGGCTGCTATGCAGGCTGTCCATTTTTTATTGATTTGTATTGGAAAGTCAGATTTACATAGAAGAGGAGAGACAGAGAGGAAGATCTTCCATCCGATGATTCACCTCTCAAGTGACTGCAATGGCTGGTGCTGCGCCAATCCAAAGCCAGGAGCCAGGAACTTCCTCCGGGTCTCATGCAGGTACAGGGTCCCAAGGCTTTGGGCCAACCTTGACTGCTTTCCCAGGCCACAAGCAGGGAGCTGGATGGGAAGTGGAGCTGCCTGGATTAGATCCAGCGCCCATATGGGATCCTGGCGTGTTCAAGGCGAGGACTTTAACTGCTATGCCATCGCGTCAGGCCCTATGCAGGCTGTCCATTACCCAGAACTGTGCTGTATCAGCCTGGGATCTGCGCAGGCAGGGACACCTTCCTGCCCACCCAGGCCCCAGCTCCACCTCTGGGCACTCTGGTTTTTCAGGTGAGCTGTTTGGAGTTTATTCTGGTGCTCACTGTGCCATGTGGATGCCACCTGCACCTTCTCCATGTTAGCCAGGCCCTCTCCACCCCTGCCAGGTGAGCCACCACCCATCTCAGATGCCAGGCTTCCCCGTGCACTGGGTCTCCTGTCTTCCACCAGTGCATCTGTTCATGTGCAGGTCGCCTGCTGTGCTCCTTCCGGAGAGTGCCAGGGTTGGTTCTGTGCCTTTAACAGTCATTGCTGCGGTAGCCTTCTCCACCTGCAATGTTTTTCTGCCATTCTTGCATATCCGATCTTCCCACAAAAAATTAAGTAACAGGGTTTTATTTGTTTGTTTTAGCCCCGTGAAAAAGCTTCCTGGGATTGCGTCAAACTCATCAATTGTGGGGAGCTGACACTTCTATGAAGTGAAGTTGCGCTGCTCGCGGGCATTGGATATGTTTTTATTTGTTCAAATCCCTGCTTGGTGGTGTTAAGGGGTTATTAAGTTTTCCTCAATAAACTGCACACATCTTAGGTAAGGTTTTCATCTTTAAGTCGTGTTGTTGCTGCTATGGTAACTGAGGCTTTCTATTCTGCAGCCAGCTGTTTGTGGGAGCATTTAAAAAGTATTGAGTCCTGCCTGTTCATGTTACACCTTACCGACTGGATGGTCTGAGGATGAATTGGCTGGGTGCACATATGAGATGCCGACACTTGAAAGTAGAGATTTAGCCTGCTGAGTCGTGACTCTGCCCCTATCTTGGGGCTTTTAGTGTGGATTTCTCAGGCCAGCTTAAAAACCGGGCAGCTGAATGGGCAGGCCGGAAGGCAGGGGGCTGTGCTGGTGGCAAGCTCTGCTCCTGCAGCTACGGTTTGCTCACTGCTCTCCTGCACCTGCAGGTGTGTGACTTGCTGCAACCACCTTCAGTCTCATTCTATTGTTGTCATCGGTGCAGTCAACCTGACACCCCCGGCCCGTGGTGTGCGCCCCCTGGTGTCCTCCCTGCTCACTTACACCTGCTACTTCCTACCCTAGCTACTGTACCAGGTTCCTGGCAGGGGTCACACTCTGGGACAGGAGGTCAAGGACCACTGGTGGGGGTCCCAGATGCTGTAGAGAGGTGTGGAGAAGAGACCTGGGCCCTTGGGGGGCCGGCTGCCTGCCCGGCAGAGGCAGGCAGGGCTGGAAGGTGTGTGCTGGGGTCCTGTGAGTAGAACTGCTACTTAGCCTCCACTGAGCCTGCACCTGCTCTTTTAGAAATCCCATCAGGGTGTTCTCACAGCAGCCCTGTAATGCTGTGTTCCTTTGTCCCAGGCAGGGAAATGAAGGCCCCTGCCGGGCGGGCAGGACTGTTGCCACATGTTGCCACATGTTGCAAGGTTCTGCCAGGAATATCCAGAGTGGGAGGGACGGGGCCAGCAGCAGCAGGAGCCCTAGAGTGCGTGACTTTAATGATGTTGGCAGTGGAGGCCAGCGGGAGGCAGTGTCCTGGGTCATTCCTAGAAAACTTCTGCCCAGTTAGCCATAAACTGGCTGCACGCCCATTCCCCCTGTGCTGGGAAGCAGCTCTCCTTTGCACACACTCAGGCACGGTCTACACAGGGAGAGGGTCCTCTCTCAGACTAGCTGTGCGTCCTGGGGCAGAACTTACCATCTCATTGTTTTAAAGGAGCTCATCTCACAGTGCACCTTTCTCTCTGGAAGTAGGATGCAGATGGCTTGGGGTCTCCTGCCTGGAAGCTGGGCGAGGGCAGGCATACACATCTCAGTCCCTTATGCATTCTCTTTCTCCCAAGGCCAGAAAACACTTCATGTTCAGTAAGTCAAACTCTCAATACTAACCTTAATGATCACCCTGGATGCCTAGCTTTTGTTTACCAAGCTGGTCAACTCCTAGGCTGACATCTGTGCCCAGCCCTCCCCCCACTGCTGATCGCCACCAAAGACGCCCATCTTAAAGAGGAAGAAACAGAAGCCTGTGAGGCTTAGTGGCAGGTGCAAGGCGAGGTACCATGTCTGGAAGAGCTAGGGCACGTGAGCACAAATGCATCCCTTGGAAGAGGCAGAGAGAGAGAGAGAGAGAGAGCAAGGCTTGGCTGATACCCGATAGGGGATGTCTACACTGCAACAGCGGCAAAGGAAGAGACTTAGTCCTAAGTCTCTCTAAGAGTGGGGAGAGCCCTGTTTACACTGATCCTGGCTGCTCCCCTGGTGGGGTGGTGCTCTAAGACCCTAGCCCAAACAGCAGCAATGCCAGGATTGGGGAGCCCTGGGCCTTTGCAGCAGGCTCAGGAGTGAATTCTCATTCCACGGATGAGGAAAACTGAGGCTTGGAGAGATTGGGACTTGGCCGTGGTGGACCTGGGAAGTGTTGGGATGAACTTGGGAAGGTCGCTGGGCTGCAGACTCAGTTGCAAAGAATAAACTTAATTGGGGATGCCACATGACCTTGGTAAGATCCTGGCTCCTCTCACTAGTTTTGTTCCTAGAAGGCCAGACCTGGTGGCAGGTAGGGCTGTTCCCAGCAACAGTAACATGGAGCTGTCTGGGGAGCTGGGGGTCCAAGTGACCCCCTTGTCAGTGACCCCCCCATCAAGGGTGACCCCAGACCCCACAAGGCATCTGGGGCTTGCTCAGGCACCCATGTTCAGCTTGCTCAGGAGCCCATGTTCAGCAGGCAGTGGGGAAGAAGTGGGGTCAGGAATCAGATGCCCCGCCCCCCAGCACCTGCTAGGTGCAAAGACCCAGCCTCTAGGTGCGAGTTCCCTCAGTGGAGACCCCAATTTTCCCCCAAGTTGGGCATGAACTCAGCTATTCCCTGGAACCTCCTCTTGGCAGCTTCCTACCAGACGGCCCGTCAGTCTCTTGCAGGCAGATACACCAGCCTACCTGTGTGGCCAAGTTCACATTATACAGCCCAGAGCCAGAGGGAGGCGCCAAGGATTAAAGGGTGGAGCAAGACCTGCAAAAGGGAAGAAAGAGTTCTGCTGTGGGAGCAGGTCTCGGGGCGGCAGTACCACCCAGGAGCCAGGGACACGATCCCTGAGACCTTAAGGTGCCCCCACCCCCAAACATCCTCTGCCAGGCTGGGTGGAACCCTTGGATCTTCAAGCAAACCAAGGTGGCACCACGAGGACAAGGATTTGGCACCTGTGCTGTTTTATTTCCTCAACTGTGCAACTGAAGGCAGCACCACGCAGGGCAGCTGGGGTGGGGGCCTCAGTAGCCCCTGCCCTCTTGCTGTCTTCACTTCCACTGGGAGCTCATGAGTTCACACAATGGCTGGCTGCAAGGGCAGAGCCAGCACCAGCAGGGGTGTGGCCTGAGCCGTCCCTCCTGGCTTCAGTGTGTCTTGCCCTGGCCCTCAGAGATGACGTCCTCGGGCGGGGCGCGCATGTACCACTCCACCCAGGAGCCGTCGTAGATGGGCACGTCAGGTTTGCCGCAGAGGTAGGCCCCCAGGGCTACGTGGCAGGCGGTGACTCCTGAGCCACAGGTGGCCACCAACGGCCGGGACAGGTCAACCTTCTTCTCCTGGAACAATCGCTGAATCTCCTCGGGGCTCTTCTCCAGGCCCTCTGGGGTCAGGAACTCTGTGAAGGGGATGTTCACGGTGCCAGGGATGTGGCCGGGCTCAATGCCTGCAGTGGGAAGGAGGAAGACAGAGAGCTGGCACCTGTGGGTCTGCGAGCCTCCCAGGCAAGCAGAGGGCTGACTCCTGCATAGGCACACTGTGCATTCAGTGCTCCCAACCGGGAGACCTGGGCACTATGTTTTCATTACACAGACAGATACGCTGAGAGAGCACACCAGCTCGGGTCAAAGCCCTGAGCAAATGACCACCCCAAGGCTTCCTATGGCCCCAAAACCATGAACGAGAATCCTGTCTGGCATGAAGTTGGGATTGGGTAGGGCACAGGCAGTCTCAGGAATGATAAGCATGTGGTTGTTTTTAGAGTGCTGCGTGCCCATGCTGGCACTGCTGGGGCCCCTCCCATGTATATTCTGTTCTCAGAGCACAACACAAAGGTCCCCTACAGCTCTGCCTCCCAGCAGGTGCAAAGTTGGGGCAGCGCACACAGCGGACACAGAACCCAGGCCCAGGGCAGACTCACTTTATGGAGGCCCACTCAGAGCAGTCCCCAATTCAGGGCAAGGCTAGGACTACCCTGGCCCTGCGGGTACAGCACACCTCCCCTCTCTCTGGACCCGTGCAGCTCATGATGGGCACACATGGCCAGGCCTCAGGTTCTGGGTTGGGCATCATGAAATGTAGCAAGTGCTCCAACTCTTTCCCACCAGCCGAGATGGCACTGAAGCATCAAGGCATTGCACCCCTGACACAAGGCTCGCGTGTGTGTCATCACCACCCATTTTCCAGATGAATGAGCGTCACTGAGGCAAGCATTCAGCACCTCCATGTTAAAGAGGCAGAACCAGCGAGCCATACATGAGTGCTGTCACTTCCCAACTCTCCAGCATCTCTGCGTGTCCACACGTGGAGCTGGGTGCTCCGTGCACTCACTCTCATTTGACCCTCACCTCGTCTGTTCTGCTCCCGGCTCCTACTTCCATGTCACACCTGCAGAAGCTGCAGCTTAGAGACTGGGTGAACTCCCAGGCATCACACGTCAGTGCCAACCCGGGCACAGCTTTGCCAGCTGCCCCCTGCTACTCCACTCCCTGGAGCTCAGCTGGGGCACCCAACAACTGAGGCTATGCCAGGCCAAATTGCCACCTGCACAGGCACATCATGGGTTTGCTCTCAGCAGGTGCCTGGCTATTGTGTGGCAAGAACATTCTGTATTTGCCTAACCTCTCTGTGGTGCTGACTTTGTGTCAAGTCCTGGGCCAGTCATCAGGAGCTGGGACAGGCTGTGACCCAGGGGGTTTGGAGGCTCAGGACAGAAACTTGAGCCCTGATCTCGGAACCAGGGGCTCCATCCAGGGAGAACTTCCTAGAGGCAATGAACTTCCTCAGCTTTTTGCAGCCTTGCAGGGTTGAGATAATTGCCTGGGGAAACATGTTGGCTTCTGAGATCCCGGGCCAGGTGGCATCCTGCCATGCCTTCCTCCTCTGCACAGTGACAGGCAGTACCTAATGCCATGTAAATGGTTGTCAAACCGGGCACAGCGCTGTGGCGGAGTGGGTAAAGCTATCACCTGTAATGCCAGCATCCCAACGGGATGTTCTGGCTGCAGCACTTCTGATCCAGCTTCCTGCCAAGGTGTCTGGGAAAAGCAGTGGAAAATGATCCAAGTGTTTGAGTCTCTTCTCTGGATCCTCCTTGTGGGAGACTGGAAGGAGCTCCTGGCTCCTGGCTTTGAGCTGGCTCAGCATTGGCCATTACAGCCATCTGAGAACCGAACCAGTAGATGGAAGAGCTCTCTCTCCTTTCAAATAAATAAATACAATCTTTTAAAAAAAAAATTTAGCTGTCACACTGTATTGTCTGGGGGATACTAAGTGACAAATGTATGTTCAGATGCAATTGTTTCCAATTACAAAGTATTTATTCACTTATTTAAAAGTCTGAGTCAAAGACAGATCATTCAGCTGGTTCACTCTCCAAACTGCCATAACGGCGAAGACTGGGCCAGCCGGAAGCCAGGAACTGAGAGCTTCTTCTAGGTTTCCCATGTAGGTGCAGGTGCCTACGCACCTGGGTCATCTTCTGCTGCTTTTCCTGGGTCATTAGCAAGGAGCTAGATCGGAAGTGAAGCAGCCAGTGCCCATATGGAATTCTGGCATGGCACTGCGGGCAACAGCGCTAGCTGCTATGTCACAACGTTTTCACCTCACATATTTTCCATTTGGAGTTGAAGTCTGGAATGGGGCAGCTGCGGTCAGAGCACAGAGACAATACCTACCTCGCCTGCTCTGCGTGCCCCTCCTTCCATAGGATACAGGGCTGTCTCACAGTTTGCAGGCCTAGGAAATCCACCCTGGGGCAGCAGTCCCTTGGAGCTTGTTCGGCTCAGACCTCAGCACCCTGATTCCACCTCCACGGAGAACCCCCCTGCTTTACCAGATTCTGGGCCTGTCCCCTTGAGATCTTCCAAAACTGGGACCCACATACCCATGGAGCGCGGGCGAGGGTTGCTTGGGTCCTGGTACTAACACAAGTATGGACTGGGGGCAGTTGCAGCGAAAAGCGCAGGAAGGGATGCGAGGGAAAAGATCTTTTCTTCCCTGGTCACTTCACAACCCTGGTGCAGAATACAAGTCCCGCCCCAAGCAATGTCCTTTACAGGCAAGGTCAAGGCCCAGGATGGTGGCCCCCTACGCCCCCAGCATTCCCAGGGACCTGCCGGCCACCCCAGTCCCACCGGCACTGTTACCGTCTCGGGGCTCCGGCTCCGTGCCACGGAAGCGGCCAGCCGCACGAGCATCCACCACCTGGAAGCGTCGGGCTTCTAGGTTCTCCTTGATGTCCTCGTAGGTCTTGACGAAGGCAGGATCAAGTTGCGCGTGAAACTCGGCGGGCGCCGGGTGACTCTTGCCGGAGCTGAGTGGGAGCCCCTGGCGCTGCCAGTGGCGGAGGCCCCCGTCCAGCAGTGACACGGCGCGGTGGCCGAAGGCCCGGAACATCCACCAGATTCGCGGCGCCGCGTACAGGCCCTGCTCGCTGGCGTCGTAGACCACCACGTGCGTGCCGGTGCCTACGCCCAGGCGGCCCACGTACTCGGCGAAGTGCTCGGCGGGGGGCAGCATGTGGTCGTAAGGCGAAGTGCGGTCGCTGCACTGGTCAATGTCAAAGAAAACAGCGCCCGGGATGTGGCGCTCCTCGAACTCACGCCGTGCATCGCGGCCCAGCTTGGGCAGGTACCAGGAGGCGTCGAGCAGCTGCAAAGGCTGCCCAGCACGTGGGGCCCTCAGCGCCTGGGACAGCCACTGAGCAGACACCAGTGCGCGAAAGAGCTGGGAAGTGGTCATGACGGCAGGGTCGGAGATACTGGGGCTGCTGGCCTGCACGACAAGAGGGGATGTTAGGAGTCCGGCAGCGGCACTGTGGCACAGCAGCAAACTTCCGTGCCCTGAAGCTGAGGCTGGGCCAGAGGCAAGGGTGTGAGCTGCAGGGGAAGGTGGAACCAGGCTGGCCCGGCCTGGGAGCAGAGTCCAGAGAATTGCTTAAGTCACAAGGCATGAACTTTGGTCTCTGGGGGCTGCCCAGCCAGGTCTTGCATATACACAGCTGAGGGACCAAAAGACCCAGGAGCCCCTGGGGAGGGGCTGGTGGGTTGGTGGGGTGGAAACTTTTTCTGCTAAGAACTGGAGAAGGGCAGGTGCTTTCAAACTGAATTTCATTCACAACCATCCAGAGCTGTTCCCTCATTCAATCTAACATAGGAGCCCTATACAGGAGCCGGGGAGCTGGGCTTGGCTGGAGTGCTAGCTGTGTGCCCTTCACACGGATTTTATCATATCTGCCACTTAACAACCCTGGCACCATAGACTGAGTTCTTTATTGCACTAACCCTGGCACTATAGACTGAGTTCGTTATTGCACTAACAGTCTTCAGAGGGTTGATCTGCTCTTATCTCACAGAGGCAAGTACTCTCAGAAGAGCATCACCTTGGCCGTGGAGGCCAGACTGCCCAGCAACAGGTGCCATTCTGCTGGTTCTGCCAGCCCAGCCAGGCCTGGTCTGCTCTTCCAGCCAGGGCCCTTCTTCAAGCAGCCCCAGCGGTTGGCTGGCTCCCCATACCTCCTCTTCTGAGCTGTTCCTGCTTGCCCATGGCAAAGATGCCACCAGCCAGCCCCCGACAAGCTGTGGGTCCTGGTGCTTAGTTCCCATATGCTTTCATGCAGTTTAGAGGAACAAGCCCTTTCTGCCAAGCAGTGGGAGAACCCCTGCCAGGGCTCACAGCTGGGCACATGGTCACCCGGAAGGATGGGTGGGCAGAGAGCTGGCCTAGCAGAGTGTCTTGCTCAAAACCAGGAGGAAGATCTAGCTCAGCCTCGGCCACAGACACAGCCTTGGGATCTGATGCCAGAATGCACCAGTCCCGGAGTTGGCCTTGGTCCCTAGCCTCCAGGGGCCGTGCTGACCAGGAAACATGGGAGTCCGGTGTATACCCCCCTGCCCTGACTTCATCCACCTGGTCAGGCCCTGGGCTGGACACCCAGGAACTCTCTTGACTTTGGACTCTGGGGGCTTGAGACACAATGCAGCTGAATAAAACAGGAGTGGGACCAGGCACATGGGCACAGAGGGGCCCCTGTCTCTGTCTGGGGTACGTGTAGGGATGCAGCGGTGCCAAGTAATCCTTTAAGTTTTTCAGGGGTCCATGGTAAGGGGGCTGCCAAGAGGATTTTGGCTAAGGGGAGACCCCCTATCTAAGAGGGAAGGTGTGCCACAGCTAGACAAGGCTATGGGTGCTGTGAGCTGTTTAAAACCCACTCTGTGGTTTCTAGCAGCCCCAGGACTCCTCACCCTCCTCACTAAGAATCCATTTAGAGTGGAAATCATGCTGGTTTGGGAGTTACAGAGTCTTCCAAAGGGAGTGCAGACCCCAGCTGGGGCTGGGTGCATGGCAGGGGTCATGTAGGGTCTATGGGTCTATGACGCTGAACCCCCCCCCCCCCCGCACTTTCTCCAGAAGATTCAAAGCTGGACATGTTAGGCCACCACCCCCCACTGTACTCTGCTAGCTGCACTTCTGATCTTTCCAGAAGGGTCCATGGAAGCCCAGGCTTCCTCCCACCACTCTCATGGCTGATCCTTGGTGCTAACAGTGGCAAACGCAGAGCCCGAGACTTCCAACCCTGGCAGTGGGGGTAGGGGAAGGACTTCAGAGATCTGAGGTCTCCTGGCCCAGCCTCCTCTGGAGCTTTGTGGATTGTAGTCCTGAGAGGCCACGGGTGAAGGGTGAAGCTAGCAAAGGGCCTAGCTCATGGTGGGTGGATGGGGAGTAGGGTGTCAGAGTGCAAGACCCCAGGTGGTGGCACAGGATAGCCGGGGTGTACATAGTGTGAGGCCAGTGTCGCATGCAGGGGAGCTGCAGGGCTGGTCCCACCCTGGTCCACCTGGCACCTGCCCTGTCTTGAGCCACACACAGGTCTCAGAAATCTCTTTGGGTCAATACTTGTCCAACGATGAATTGACATCACTTGGCATGCATAGCAAGCCTTTTGGTGGGAGGTGGGTGAGCAAAAGCAACTATGAAACCAGGGGCGTCAGAAGCATGGCAGTGGCAGGCTAGGACCGGGCAGAAGCGGTTGGGAAGCCGGCACCAACAGTGCACAGACCTAAAGGCAGGACAAAGGTTTTTGTTTGTTTGTTTGTTTAAGTGAAGAGGTAAACAAAGGCAGAACTGGCCACGTGGACTGCACTGGGCTGGGGGATTGGGCCCAGCCTTGGCTCCACTTGTCCAGCGCGTCCCCGCGGGGCCCTGGCTCTCTCCCTACTTTCTGAAAAGTTTTGGCCCGGCCGCCCCGCAGAGGGCTGTCTCGGGCAGCGCGCGACACGGTGGGGACAGTCGCCCAGTGCAGGGGCGCACCGCGCAGGCCTGGGCGTGTGTTACTTTCGCTTCATTGCACCGAGTTCTCTCCACCGGGCCTCTATGGCAGGGGGCTCCTCTCTGAACGGTTTTGTTGCCCCCTCTCTCCTCTTCCTGCCCTTGCGGTTGGCACCAAGCTCACCCACCCACTGCTCCCTACTCGCCACTCACCCCCGATCCCCACGCTTAGGGAGAACCCAGGGGGCACGACAGCCATCCTTCCCTCCTCCACCCGGGCTCCGCGAGGGAGCCTGCGCCGCCTCCCATTACGGAAAGGCAAGGACCACGCAGCAGTTAGGCAGGTCTCCCGGTCTCCCGGCTCCGCCACGGCGCCCCCCTCCCCGCACCTACCGCCGTCCCCTCCTCCCGCCACCAACCTGCGGCCGGCCAAAGGGAGGAGACTCGGGCACAGCCCACCGCCGCGGCCACTCGGAGCCCCGGCTGCCGGCGCCTTCCACTGGCCGGGCCGTGGGAGGGGGACGCCCGCGCCTCCGCGTCCGACCCCCGCGGTCCCGCGCCCACCCGCAAGCTACTCGCAGGGAGTGCCAAGCTCCGAGCGCCGAGAGGCGCCTGGGGGACGGCGCGATGGCGCGGGGCTCGGCGCGGTGGGAGGGAAGGGTCCCCCCCTCTGGGGCGGCGCGCGATGGTGCTGGCCGCCGAGGCAGCTGCGGGTTCTGGGTTTGAACTGGCCAACTTGTCCGGGAGGGCAGGGGCGAGTGTCAGGCGGCAGCGAGGGCGAGTGAGTGAGTGCGGCGCGACGCCCCGGGTCCGGTCGTAGGCCGGGATACCTGAGGCATTGGGGAGGGTCCCTGTAGTAATGGCTGGGCGGGGGCGCCCCGACCCCAATTAGGGCTGTGGACGACAACGAGCTGGGGCCGGATGGAATGCCTGGAGGCGTTTGCCAGGGCGTGCGCGGGGATCGGGCGGAGCGCTTCCTGAGCGCTCATCTTGGGAAGAGGGATTAGGAGCCCGAGAATGTCCTGTCCCTTCATGCTGGGCGTCTGTTTCCCCTGATCACAGGCAAGATCAGATTGCAAGGCCACAAGGCCTCCGCCAGCTCCCCCCAGTGGAGGGCGGCCCGGGGGTGCTCTGGCTCCACCCCTTCTGCGCCCGGCATTGGTGGGCCTGGGCTAAGGGGCGGGGCTGGCCTTTTCCCCTGGGACTTGGCTCTCCCCGGCTAGGGTGCGGTTGACCCCGTGTTGGCTGGGGAGAGTGCTGTAGGAAAGCCAGCGCTGCCTCCCAGAGCTCTCACTCGCGTCTCCTTCCCGGTCCCCCTGCGCGCCAGGTGACTCGTGGAGCTGAAGGCATGGTTAAGCAGGTGCTGTACCGGGCACTGGTGTCCACCAAGTGGCTGGCAGAGTCAATCCGGGCAGGCAAGGTGGGACCCAGCCTGCGAGTGCTGGACGGGTCATGGTACTATCCGGGCACGCGCGACGCCCGCAAAGAGTACCAGGAGCGCCATGTGCCGGGCGCTTCCTTCTTCGATATCGAGGAATGCCGGGACACCGCGTCGCCCTACCCAATGATGCTGCCCAGCCCATCGGGCTTCGCCGACTACGTGGGCCGCCTGGGCATCAGCAACGACACACACGTGGTGGTATACGACGGTGACCACCTAGGTTCATTCTATGCTCCGCGGGTCTGGTGGATGTTCCGCGTGTTTGGCCACCGCACTGTGTCTGTGCTCAACGGTGGCTTCCGGAATTGGCTGAAGGAAGGCCACCCGGTGACGTCGGAGCCCACCCGGCCAGAGCCTGCGGTGTTCAAGGCCACCCTGGACCCCTCCCTGCTTAAGACCTATGAGCAGATGCTGGAAAACCTGGAGACCAAGAGGTTCCAGATGGTGGATTCCAGGGCCCAACCCCGCTACCTGGGCATTGAAGATGTGGAGCTGACCGCAGCAGGTGTGTGTCCAGGGGGCAGAGGAAGGAGGGGAGTGGTCCTTGGAGATGCCATGGGGGCATCAGGGACCTTCTCTGAGCTCAACCCTTAGGTCTCCAAGGCAGGCCTCAGTCTTGTTATCTATAAAATAGGAAGGTTCAGCCAGCCCAAAAGGCTTTACAGGATACATGAGTCCTCGTAACTGTGGGCTTGGGCTTATACGTGGCCTGGCATCCACAAGCTGCTGCTGCCAGGCACCTGCCCCCTCATGTGGCTCCGCTGGGCAGAAGCTGCCCAAGGACCCTCCTAGCTTCCTCAGGGCTTCACTGGCCCCTCAGAAACCCTTAGAGACACCAATTGAGCCCTTCCCCAGGGACGCTGCTTTTGTCTGAACACCTTGCCCCGGGGGCCCCAGAGTGGTGTTTGCAAAAGGCGGGCTGGGTTCATAACCTTGGCACGACTGAGCTGTGGCAGCACTGCCCTTATGTGCAGGATCCCTTGATTTTGTTGCACTCTTCTATCCATCAAGGTTGCTTAAGAGACCCGGTCCCCAGCATGGCTCAGTGGTCCCCGCTGAGTGTGGGGCCACCGGGACATCAGCTCAGTAGCACTGTCAGGATTTGAACCCAACACTGCCTTGTTTCAAATTAGCACTCTAAATCAGAATTCACCTTGTCCCAAGCCACCCCCACTTCCCAGGGCTGGGGAGAGGATGTCCACTGGGAGGTGGCTTGTAGGCTGAAGGCCAGGGTCTCCAGAGGGCACCTGCTGAGTTCTAGAAGTTCCAACCACAGGGAAGCTGGGAGGTCTTGCCATTCCTGGGTCCAGGGGCTGGAGTCTTGCTGCGACTGCTCCAGCCTCACCTGTGACTCAGACTTAGGCTGGTCTAAGGCCCTCCAGCTGGCCAGCACCTCCCTGGCGGCTCTCTCTCTCTCTGGTCACCGCCCCCCCTCCTTCCTTGGCGGGCTCTAACTCACCTGCAACATTTTACCCAACTTGTTAAAAAATGTATCTTTCTTTCTGAGCTTGGCAAGAGCAAGAGAAAAGCAGTTTGCTCCCTCTTGGGACTGGCCTACAGATCAGCCTGCCTCCAGACAGAGAGGGGACTGGGGCACACAGGATTGGGGGGAAGGGACAGCTCAACGCCCCAGGGCCAGCGAGGGCAGAGTCAGGGGACCCAGTCCCCAGCATGGCTTTTCCAGGGCGCCTGCTTGTCCTGCGTGGCTTGTTCTCTGAAGGTCTGGGAGATGGAGACTCAAGCTCACTTGGCACCTCTCAGAGAGACACTGTTGGCACAGAATACCACCCGACAAGCCCCTCCTGGCCATGTCGCCTTTTCTTTTTGGGACTTCAGCTGCCATGGGGGAGGAGGGGACGGTGCTGGGAAGTACCACCCTGGAACAAACTGGGACATAAGGGCAAAGGGGGAGTTTGGGGCTGCCAGGCCCGGCCTCCTCACTCCCTGTTTACAGAGGATGCAAGGAGTGGGCAAGCAGCCTGCTCTGCACTTGCTGGGGCTTTCCAAACATTCTTGAGTCTCCAGCCTGTGCCACCCTCTCTGGGTCCCCACTGGAATACCAGGAAACAAAAATCTCACTTAGCACAGCTGCTCCTTGGCGGTGTGACCCCAGTGCTGTGGCTTGGCCTCTGTGGGCTCCCTCACTGTGAACTGAGACACGCCCTAGCAGCCCTCCCTGCCAGGAGCGGCTGGAGGGGGACTTGGAGAAGAGGAAGTAACCCTACAGAGACCGGGGCCACCTGCAACAGTGTCCCCAGTGTGCCACTTCCTCCCTTCGTTCTCTTGAGAGGTGTCTTGGGGACATAGGAGGTTCAGCCAAACATGGGGTCCTCAGCCTGGGGAGGGACCAGGGAGACTCCTTTGGGTTCAGCGGTGCAAACGGAACTGGGTGGCAAGTTCCCTGGAAAGAGGAGTGGGGAAGGAGCTAGACACAGGGCCTGAGATCCACCTGCTGGCCACTTCCTGCCTACATAGGCCATTTCTCCTCTGGCCTCTGTGCCTTCTGGTCCTGTTGTGTGAGGGGTGTGAAGTGGGAGGTAGAGTCCACCTGTTTACCTGCAGGTCCCAGATGGTCTGTGGGAAGGGAATTCATCTATCCATCTCCCAGGTGAGAGGGAGAGGGATGAGAGCAGTGAGGTCTGTAAGCACTCGGCAGACCAATCCTGCAGGATCCATCCCAGGTGGGGGTGGAGGAAGAGAAGCTTGTATAACAGGTGGAGCAACCACAGCTCAAGCTCTATGAACAGGCATCCAAGTGAAGCCCTTCCCAGGGCCACTGCTGTGGGTGGGGTGAGCTGGAAGCAAACCTGGGGTTAGGAGGAAGTCATGGTGCTAGGCATTGCTTGGCTATTGCAATGAACCCCAGGGCCCATGGGCCTGTGTCTCTTCCTGCCAAGCCTGGGGGCGAGATGGGAGGCACAGGTTTGTGTGGGTGGGTGGGGAAGCCCAGAAAGTCCTGGTTGGATTTTCCTGGCTGGAAACTTCCACATCTGTCCTTACTCCCCAAGGTAGGGGTGGTGTGCTGACACAGCAACTTGATCAGCATCTTCCTGGTCAAAGCCAGGATGCCCAAAGTGCAAGAATTGAAGCAGCTATGTCACCCCTTCTTCCAGCCTCTTCCCAGGGAGACTCTGAGTGGTCCAAGAGCCAGGTGTTGGTGTCAGCTCGACCTGACCCCAGTTCATTTTGGCTGTGTGTCCTGGAGCAAGTTCCCTCACCTCCCTGAGTCTGAGAGAACAGCCAAGAAAATGGCCTCTCTGGTTTTGTAAGGGTGGAATGGAACATTCTCAAAAGAAGCTGCTGTTGAGTGCCTGGTGCTAGCAGAAGTTCTGAGTTGGCTGAACTGGGGAGGGACACGTGGGAGCCCTGGCTTCCGGACCCAGCTCGCCTTTGCTCCTCTTGGCTGTCATCCAGGGTTCCTGGCCTCTTTCCTGCACACAGGCGGGCGGTTCCTGCTTATTGAGATTCCCCAGACAAGTCCCAAGCCCTGGGCCAGCCAGCAGGTAGGAGAAGGAGCTGCCAGCTCCCAGGGCTGGCCCCGCGGCGAGCAGGGGAAGCAGTCGTCAAAGCAGAAGAAAGCAGCGCAGCACATTGGCAGGTGCACATTGGGACTTGTGCCCTTCCATCTCCACACAAAGTCCAATGTGCAGGTTCTGGAGGGCACAGCGGCTGGGCCTGGCTGGTAAGGCTGGCACACAACTCTTCTCAGATCCAATTTTTAAAACAAAAAAGGTAAAATCCTAATAGCAACAGTGGTCATCTAGAAGTTGGCACATCTTCACCCTCAGGAGGACCGGGACCTTGCTGCTACGGTTGTGTGCTAACTGTGTTCCCAGGGCCACTAGAGGCTTTCACCTAAGGCACCTGAACTTGGCCTCATACTTGTGACTCGGTGGATGGGGCCATCTCCCATTCTACGGAAGGGAAGATTGAGGCATGGAGGTGCAGGGCCTGCCCAGCTGCTTGTGGCTTCAGTAGTCCCACTGCTACCTCAGACCCTGCGCTGCCCTGAGGCCCAGGTTGAATGGGGGGCTGGGACCATGGCAGAAAGAGGGGCCCTAAGAGAGAGAGCCAAGGCTGTGTTACAC